TGAGTGCTTACCTCTGCAACCGTAATAATGTTCTTTTAACATGGGGAAGGTGTGTGTGTGTGTGTTAGAATAAAAGATAAAGTTCCTCCTCCTTGTGACTTGTTTGTAGAGGCAGGGAATGTGGCTTATCTCCCTCTGTGTAATACATATTCATTTATGGCATTTTATGGTTTATAAAAATGATAATGGGCAAAACAAACTGAAAAATCACAGCACTAAGTGAAGTTTCCAAGTGGCAGAGCAGTGAAATACATGGCTGTCTAGAGCGTTGTAAAGCCAAGAGATACAAGAGCTCCAGCATCCAGATGGAGGATGACAGGTAGGAGGACTCATTGAGGACTGACAGCTGATGAGTTAGTGTGAATGAATGTTTTGTCTGAATATAACTATATGAATCAGTGACAGTAGGTCTCAGAAAGGCTTAAAACACGAACAGTGTGAAGGAGTGATGTCTGTCTGAATTTGCAGACAGCCTGGAGGAGGGTGAACTACCCTATGCATCTCAAAGAGGTGTTATCTCCAAGACACATAGCTCTGGGAGCTTCTGCCAATGCAAACCCCGCAAAGGACTGCGTGTGTGGTAGGAAGAAAAGACTGCAGCAGGCCCAGTCCATACACTGCTGCCAGTACACTTACCACCCATGTTCCAAGTGGGGGGAGAACCACAGGGGGACCCATGTCACAGGGTGCTTAGGGCCCAAGATTGTCTTAATCCAGCCCTGATATTATTTTGCTCTACAACACAGGGAAATCCTATGAAGAGAGCTGAGAGAACACAAGTCAGTGGTATTTATAACTTTTATTTGCAATACTTTAGGTCCAAGTTTCAAACTGCAATATTTTTACACTCAAGACACAGTCATGCACAATCCATATTTCAATTTTCTATTGCTTCAACCACAATTTAAAATAACTTAATGTTGGAAAGAAAAAATTCTTTTAAAAAAATGGATGCTGAGGTCAGTACGATGGATCCATGCCATCAGCATATTTACAAAGTAAATAACTTAGTTCTCTTTTTAAAAAGATCGTAAGTACCTCTTAATCCAAAGTTACAGAAGAATTTCACTACACACTTTTTTTTTTTTTTTACAGATAAACACATCCTAAAAAAAGGAATGTACAGCAAAATGAGATACATTTTTGATAAACAATGAAAATGTAGGATCCTCCTGTTTACTTTTGTCTGGGTACCCTGAAGAAAAACCCAGCAGACACTAGTATAGCTGTAAACTAGTTGCTTCTGATTGACTGGGAGTTTACAGGTAGTTAAAACTCAAGCCAGTTAATGGTTGCAGGATTCTTTTGCCAGATCTTACTAGAATGTATGTGTATATGTGTGTACAGCACATGCAGTGCAGTATAAATATACATATACAAGCTCTAGAATAACTCCCTGGTGTAGCCCCTGGACTCAAGTTCTACCCATAAGGTTAGTTATTATTTCCACCATGGCCTTCTGGTCTGTGCAGTACTTTGCAATTGGGTCATGTCCGTAGCTCACTCACCCTCCAAGTCCAGGCAACCAGACTATGGGATCTGCAACCGAAGAGTTGACCAGCCTTTTTTTGTTGTTGTTCTACAGACAGATTTATTAACACGGCCTAAGACTAATATAAAGATTCAAAGCAATTGTGCACACATTTCATTTGTAACCTGGAAGTTCAGAGGTCAAAATCTTAGCAGGCATGGATGCAAAAGAATGCCTCAAAAGTGCAACATTCGGCCTATTACATGTAAAGCACCATGTGCGAAAGAATAGGCTGGGTCTGACCCTCTTGCACATCCCTGCTTATCCAGGGAATACTTCCCAGCAGCCAGCACATAAAGTGACATTCTGTTTGGGTGGCTCTGCCTTATCAGAACCTGCTAATTAAGGGCCAGCTGCTGCTGTCATTGAAGTCAATGGCAAAATTCTTACTGATTTCAGTGAGAGCAGAACTGGATCCTGTATCTGTTCCCTAAGTGTACAGTAAGGTTGGACAAATGAAACAGAGAATATTCAGCAGCAAAAGGATTTTAGTTTAAAACAAATCAAGCCAACATTATTCCCTTAAGTCTCCTACTATATTATGCCAACATGTCACATCTGGGAGACACGCTCAGGAATGTCTTGGGATTGCAGGCAGTGATCTAGTGGAGGTTATGCCCACGAGGGACTTGTTCTTCAGGCTGAGGATGCCGATTTAAAACACTGCTGTAAACAGGCAATCGAAAAAGGACTGAAATGAGAACTGTGACCACTTTGTCTCAGATAATGATACTTGGTTAGAAGCCACTGAGGATGGAAGGAGCAGAGAGGGGTTCACAAAGAGTAATAGCAACCAAATAAAACGTAGAGACTAGGAAGAGTCGTAACAGCGGAGGGTTAACCCCCTTTTGCTTCTCTCTTTGGAACTATTCGTCTAGCTGTTCCAAGTCCCTGAAGGGAGTGAAGGGGAAGACACACAAATGATAATTGCTAGGTGCACGTATTTCCTCACTTGTAGTCCGTGATTCAAACACGTATTTGAAAGTGTGCATTGACGCCTCTGAGGTCCATCTGCAACGATTGCCAGCTCACTGCTCCTGATTTCAATCCTCTCTTTCCCTACTTGTTTTGACACCATTTAGTAGGCAACTGGTAAAAGCCGGTGTCACTGGCCATGCCTTGCAGTAATTGAGCGCTAAGCATGAGTGGCTATGAATGTGGGCCCCACTGGCTTGGAGACAGCTGCACCTGGCACACAGATGCTAATGCAGGCATTTTTAATCCTTTGGGGAAATGTCAGGTGCAAAGCCACCATGCTCCAAAAGTAAAAAAGGTCATTTTTCATTAAAGCAACTTTAACACTAATATATTATGTTACCCACAATTTCCTTAGTCACGGTCAGATTCTGAAACTTAGTGCTTACTCAGAAGAATAGCTAAGCAGTGATAGTATTTGCAGAATCAGACCAATGACTGACCAGAAGGCACCAATGAAGAGAACATACGCTTCTTTCCCCCACCCTGCCACACCCTTTTTGAGACTGCAGATATTCCCAAAGATCCACACAACCCGTGCGTTGAGCCAAAACAGGTAGATTTCACCTCCAAGTAGGGTTTTATGCATTTGTGACACAACCCCAGTATGCTGGCTCATCTCTGAACCATTCATAAACAGGGGAAGGTGTAAGCAAGATTCTGCAGGGTTCACCTAGAGAACTATCACTTTAGATCAAGGATGGGCATGAGCAATGAGATGTTTTAAAGATACTTGAAGATCTCAAGATGCAGATGCTCTGGTAGAAACCCGAGCGAGATATCAGAACAGTCGTTCTTGAAACACAAAGGTGGTCCTTTCCCTTGTCCTGAAAAATATGGTTTAAAAATGAAGATACTTGCCCAGTCCAAGAGAATAACTATCTTGAAAGCTGGAGGCTTTGCTTCTGGGCCTTAGTCACTTCCCCCCACCGCCCATCTTTAAGTTACGGAGTGTGAATGAATGATACTCCAATTGGGGAAAGATGCAGGCTAGTGGCCTTTTATACAGCTCATAAAGGCTATTCTAGCTTTGCTGTGCATGCCCTGGTGTTTCAAGCAAAGCAACATTTCTTCCTGCCTTCATTGGTAGATTTTATGGAATCTCTCTGGCTTGTCAACCAAGTCGTATGCAAACCCGCTGAGCAAAGAAATATATTTATTTACATGCTTCATGTGCAGTATTGAGGAATACTCCTTATGTAGCCAAAACTATGACTCCATATTGGAAGTAACAACTACATAGGCAATTGGATATGATTTAGTATTTCCCTTCTTTAGTGACTGGAATGTATTTGGGGCAGAAATTGGGGGGACGGGCTGATAGGAACTATAATGTTGAGGTGCTCTCATTAGCCTCAAAGAAACCTGAATAACAACAGAATAAATAAATAACTGAGTTCATCTGTGTACAATGAGATTTGGCCAACCAGTAGCCAGTGATGGAAAACAGACACATACGTATTTACAAAAGCAGAAAGACACAACAGGTGATAACGCAACCTTTGCCCGATACTGTGACCAAAACCTGAGAGCACTGTAAGATCCAGCAATTCCTCTGGCTCCCGTGAATGCATGCAGAAGCCTTGTTACATGTAAGGCTTTTTTTTTTCTTCCTTTTCCATTTTCTTAAATAAATAATCTGTACTGTGCTTCTCAAGCTTCCCTGATTTTACAGCTTTCTTGCTCCTGTCCTAGGACCTTTCGGAACCCTGGCAAGCTAACGGCCATTTTCACACCTCATCATTATAGGGGACTGGAACAACATTTGAGATCGGGAAGTTCTTTACTGTATTACGAATTTAAAAATAAAATAGGAAAAGGCAATTAACCAGTCTATTAATACCTGGAATGAAAGTGTCTGAAACATGTACAGTATGTTTATCTTTATATATGCTTTTGGCAGGAGGAACAGCTTATCTCTAATACTCCTTAAAATATACATAAATAATTGCCTAAACCAGGGATGGCTCTCAAAAAACAAGATGGTACCAGAGACTTATCTGATTGCTTATATCTTTTTTGTTCTGCAAAGGCAATGCCTATCCTGATGTGCTATTTTTCAATTCTGTAATTCACACACAAGGCCTGTCTCTTTCAGGATTGTTTTCCATTTCCAAATCTGCCTCCAAATCCAGGAGGATATAAAAAGCAGCTGCTATCTTTCTGCATCCACTGGCTTCAAGCATTTAGTGCCACAGAATCTCCCAAGCGAAGAGCTTTAGGAAGGCTACTACTCCCGTAGGTCTGGTCTATACTACCCGCCTGAATCGGCGGGTAGAAATCGACCTCTCGGGGATCGATTTATCGCGTCCCGTTGGGACGCGACAATCGATCCCCGAATCGGCGCTCTAACTCCACCAGGGGAGGTGGTAGTAAGCGCCGCCGACAAAAAGCCGCAGAAGTCGATTTTGCCGCCGTCCTCACAACGGGGTAAGTCGGCTGTGATACGTCGAATTCAGCTACGCTATTCACGTAGCTGAATTTGCGTATCTTAAATCGACTCCCCCCTGTAGTGTAGATGTAGCCTTAGATAAAGGGACATAAAGTAATTGGTCCCTTTTACAGAGTACTCAGCTGGGCAATTATAGCTTGTGTGCTGGATGCAATCACTGGCAGGAACTGGATTTCTATTGAATCTTGTCGGCATGCTAGGAATCCTTTTAAAAAGTAAAATCTCTGGATTTGCTGCTGCAAAATAAAATAAATATTTTTACAAATAAAATAAAAATTAAGGCCTCTTATTAAAGCAGTTGCATTTAAAAAGACAGTGTCAACAATATTTCACACACTGGAGCATACACCATTCTGAAGTGTATATCTTTGATTATACCTTTTTTAATTTTTTCTTTGAAGGGTGGAGCTGGGATAAAAAGGCAAAATATTTATAGCTGAAGAAAACAACTAGTGAAAAAACCCAGCAAATCGAATAGCATAACCTCCCAAAAAAGATTTGTTCTGGATATCCAGCAGAAATGCTCCACAGAAAGTGCTTTCCTTTCAAGGGACGGATGTACGCACCTTTGTGGATACAAAGACAAGAAAAAGCTACCCTGGAAATAGAAACTGTCACTTGCCCCTTTACTTCTATGTGGAATTTAAATTCATTTCTTTACGATTGATTCTTTACAAAATAAGGTTGGGCCTTCGTGAGCTTGAATCACTGGATTTTCAAAGAAGCCTAAACTCCCATCTCCTAGATGTCTAACCTGAGTTGACAAAGACAAAAATGATCCCACTAAAGAAGAAGAATCTTTACTTATTTGGGCATAAAACAAAAACTTGTTCTGCATCCCAGGAGATGGGGGAAAGTTAATTAGCAGCTGAGTACGGTAAACTAATAAACACTGCCTCAGTCAAGCCCCAAAGAAACTGAGGTGGACAAATAATGAGAGTCAGCCAGTTGGCAATATTAATGAAAGTCACAACCCAAATATATCACTAAAATCCAAAGCCAAACGAAGGCTCAAGGCCTAATCCAGGAAAGGGCTGAGCACACCCTTAACTCTTACTAATGACAACATGAGTTGAGGATGCTTAGCACCTCTCAGGAACGCTCAGCTCCTTGCAGTATCAAAAACTAAATGTGAAGTCACGGTGATCTACAGTCGAGGATTTATTATTATTTTTACAGAGGCAGGCTCCCCACTACCAATAGCCACATCCTACTGTTGTTTCGAAGGGCTTTGATTTTTAAATGTAGTATTAACCCTAAAATCCAGCAGCAAATATTCCATACACATTATTTTGCTGAGTGAAAGCCAACCAGGTCTGTCCGTTCACATAATACAAATTGTTAATTAAACTATTCTGCTCCTTTACAAATAAATTTACGAGCCAGTACAATCCTCAGTCATTTCCAGCCATTATTCTCTCCTCGACATACACATACTAGCATTAAGGTGAGTTTGGTGCATGCATTGAGGGGAGAGTTAAAGGCTGACCCAGTTTATGGCCTAAGAGTATTTATGTACTCTAGACTGCATTTACCTTTCCCTCCCTTCACCCAGCACTACAAAACCCTTGTTTAAATACATTTCCTCCACCCTCTTTTGTTGCATTGGCAGGAGAGCTCATGCAGAATGAAATCCTGCAAACTCTTACTTGAGTAGCCCCAACATTTTCAATAGAATTATTCACATGACTAAGGGCACTCACCGGAGTAACAGTTTAGAGCACTGGGCTGCCTAATTGATTGGGAATTTTACAGACGCTACCTGTCCTTTTTCAGCAGTCATAAGCCAGCCATGGGGATGGGCAAACTCGGTTCACACAATCGCTAGGCTGAATTCTGCCCCTCTATTAAATCTGTGCAAACCCAAATTTAAATAGGGCTGCATTGGCATGGAGGCAGCCGATAGCAGATTTCAGCCTACTGTTGGTTAGGGTCTCATGCTATGAATAGCTGGTGTAATCCCACAGGGCGCTGAGTGCCTCCCGTCTGCAAAGGGGCTGAGCGTCCTCAGCTCCCTTCAGTGGGAGTGCCCGTCTATCGCACTGCTGGGGAAGTTGTGTGCTGAGCACTTTGCAGGAGAGATTCAGCACCTAGCAAGACTGGGCCGCCATTTGCATTACAGCTTTGTAGCAGACGAGCCCTTTCTGAGCAAACTTGCTGACCTTTCTGCTTTTCAGTTTACAAGAACCTCACCAAGGCAAAAGTACCATTGTTAATTGCACAAATCATGCTGCCAAGGACCCGAACTCTGTATGTTCACGGTTGAAAGCGTATATCTCATCAGGATGCTCTTCCTGCTCGGCAGGTGATTTATTTTTGGTTGGAAAAGCACTTTCACTTTCATCCTTACCATCTAATGGTACCATGAATGGGCAAATACTAGCAAATGGGTTGTATTCAAAAGACAACTCAGCCTGGAGGAGGTTTCTCAATGCAGGAGGACCCTTCTTCCGTTCCAAACCAAACCAAAGAACTCAGAAAAGTGATTGTGAATCTTTAAGAACCAACCAATCATTTAAAAGTGAAATGCACAGGATGGTCACTGGGAGTCTCGCTACTGAGTTTGTTTGGCCGTGGAGATGGCTGAGACAACAAGGTGATTTCTGGCCTGGCAGCTCGGTTTTGGGCCCTGTTTCATCTGAGAAATAAATGAAGAAATCAGAGAGCAGGAAGAAGACACGTGATAGGTTTCTAGTCCTCGAAGAGCTGCAAAACAGCTGGCCTCCATCATGACTGTGACTGTTTGTCCTTATGTCTGCCTGTCCTGCAGCACAAGAATTGAGGTTTTACAGAGTTTTGTTCAGTCCCGCTCTGGAGGGAGCTGGCCCGGGGTCAAGCCAGTCCACACTGCTAGCGGCTGCTGTTCTTAATTGCTTCCTTTGCTGCAATGATGAGAGGAGTCAGGCTGGAGAGAGGCTTGGCTAATTTCAAAAATGGATGCTATTCAAAACAAAAACAGAAAGAAAAATGATTCATTATTTTCCATTCAAAGCCCATTTACCCTGACTTTCAAGCAGCTTTTTTGTTGTGCTTGCGCCATACTTGGGCTCTAATTTTAACAAGACGCAATACTCTGTAACTTTTCAAAACACGAAGGACAAATTCATCTCTGGTGCAATTCTAGCGACTCCAGGGATGAATTTGGCCCAATCTTATTGTAGGCCCAGATCCTGCATTCAGAACCTCTGAGGCGCAGGTTCACATCAGTTGCCTTTTGCATGAAGGCAAAATTCTGACTACAGGGTGCTAGGTGACAGAGTGCACATTGGCCTCTCATCTCTGGGGCCAGACTCTCATCTCATTTACACTTGTGTTTCAGATTTGGTTAACTTCAAAGGATTTCCTCCTTAACTGAACCCAGGTAAGTGGAGGAGCATCAGCCCCACCTCACGCCCCCTTTCCCCTGCCCCATTCAAATGCCATTACCTGGTTCTGAAAAGGAAAATGATACACATTACAGAACAGCAACTGCTAGTGTGAAAAGTGCCAAGCTTGAAGTGTAATGCACTATGAAGATCCGACTACGCCAACTCCCTGTATAGCTAGTGGGGCTCCATATTTGGAGGACACAAATGCCACCACTTACATAGACTTTTCACTTGCAATCACCTCCCACACCTGTGCCCATTTTACCTGTAAAAGCTCCTTGGCAGACCCTCGTCTGTCTACGTCCATTTCCAGACAGCGGTTCAGAAAGTCTCGGAACACAGCAGAGAGTCTCTCAGGATTCTGAAGTTCTGGGGTTCCATTAGTAGCTATCAGATACAAAGCCTAGAGAAACATTAAACCAGAGGGTTTAACCTATTAACCTCAACATCTAATAGGTATTCCTGTTTAAGGCCAGGTCTACACTTGCAACTTTTGCTGGCAAAGCAATGTCCATTACAGGTGTGATTTTTCGGTGACATTTCTATGCTGGCAAAAGCCCTAGTGTAGATACATAAATGGCTTTTGTCCATGTAGCTTACTGCATTTGCTTAATAAGCTAGCCCAACAAAAGCAATTTTTTGCTGGCATAAGTTGTGCCTGCAAGGGGGGCGGGAAGGGGGGTTGCTGGTATAGCTACCCTGGCAAAACATTTAAAGTGTAGACCAGGTCTAAACACATACACCTCTACCTCGATATAACGCTGTCCTCGGGAGCCAAAAAATCTTACCGCGTTATAGGTGAAACCGCGTTATATTGAACTTGCTTTGATCCACCGGAGTGCACAGCCCCGCCCCCCCCGGAGCGCAGCTTTACCGCATAATATCCAAATTCGTGTTATATTGGGTTGCGTTATATCGGGGTAGAGGTGTATTTCAAAGAAACAAGGAATAGTTCAAGTGCATCTCTGCAGTGCTCACTGTTCCCTTAAACACCGCTTCCATGTGACTGAGTGATGCAGTAGATACTTCCATTCATTCTGGACAACTGGTTATCACTGTGATTTTGTATCATAACTCAAGTGCAGTGCACCAGTTCATCAATTCAGAGAGGAAAATAGGGAAATTTAGGACTTGCTTTTCAAAATACGCCTACAATTGCATGCCCACTTAACAGGTACACAAAGTAGATGGACAGCCGCATGGTACAAGTTGCTAGAGAGTAAACTGAAGGTTTTGCCAGCTGGGCAAGTGACAATGGGGCTCTGATCACTGGGGGGAGGGGGAGGACAGTTTGGGACTACTGGCTAAGCACATTAGCTGGATGTTTTTGCAAAAGTATAGGGGCATGTCTACAATACAAAATTAAATTGACTAACTTATGTCGTCATACAGCTGTCACAGTAATGATATCACTTGTGCATGTCTACACTTTGCTCCTTGTGTCGGCGGTGTGCGTCCTCACCAGGAGCGCTTGCACCGACTGAACTGTCAGTGGAGGGATTGTGGGATGGCTCCTGAAAGCCAGCAACAGTTGATGTAATCAATGCTGTGTCTACATTGACACTGCATAGACCTAACTACATCGACATTGGCTCCACACCTCTCGTGGAGGTGGAGTTATTAAGTCGGTGTAGTGAGCGAGTTACATCAGCGGGAGCAAAATTTTAGTATAGACACTTACAAAGTTAGGTCAACTTAAGATGCTTTGCGTCAACCTAACTCTACAGTGTAGACCAGGACTAAGAAATTAACTAGTTAATGCAGACATTTCAAGTGTAATCTTTGTTTCGGAGTATGGAACCCATTGAGATGAATGAGCTAGTTCACACTTCAAAAATGATTTTTCAGAAGACTCAGAAAGATAAAACTATATCCGTTATGCTTGTTTCACATTTTCAAGGTAATCTTCTAAACCCAAAGTTGTAGAAACATAATTGGAACAAAATAAAAATAAAGGTGAAAGCTAAGATTCTGAAGCAAGCTAAGAATTCAGTGGCGAGAGTTGAATTCCACAGCAAGTTCCTGATTAAGCATCCACTGGGCCATTTGAGTGCACAAATACTCAGTTTGTGCATACAATCACATCATCAGCAAATATAAGCATGGCACACAATTGCACATGCATTTGTGTCCCTTCATATTTGAAAATACAGTCCTTAATGCTTGTGGATAAGGAGTAGTATATGTTTGTCATGAGTTGAGGACACATCAATGGACCTCCAACAATGTCTTATACTTTCATTCTGCTCTGCAAAACCCAATATGTTTGTTCTGGATATCTAATCAGAACACTGTGACACAATCCTGCAAAGGGAACATACCCAATGAGGCCTGAGTGAAGATCATTAGACACATTTCACTTGTGATAGAGGCCTAGAAAGTTGAAAACCTATAGCACAAGCCTATTATGCCACTACAGGATGTTGTTATGACATGAACACTTTGAATCCTTTTGTAGGTTACAAAAGGGACCTATGGAACCCTACCAACTCTTTGCACTTGGACTTTCAGAATAAGAGGAGGCCTGGAAATCCCTCCCAAAAAAATGTTTCTATTAAAACAGTACCAGTTCTGTCTCATTAGCATTCAAACAGAGTCACCAAATCCACTTTTTTTTACCATCTTAAACATAGAGCAAGACTTTCTAGGCCTAAAAGTTACCCTCTTAGAGCAATTGCCGTACACAAGCAGATATTTGCTTTGATCTTAGAGGGTTCCCAGAATGTCAGGACAGATTCAGGTTTTATTTACACCACTATCCATCCAGAGTAATTTGACTTCGCAGATATCTCTGGATTTACGCTGATATTCAAATCTGTGCCACTGTGTCTGAGGACTGCTGAGTTCATAGCTGAATTGATCATTTTCAGCTTTTATCACCTAAATGACTCCATCCAGACTGGAGACATTCAAGAGGTCAGATGACTTTTTGTTTCCAATGGACTTTAAAACTTACTGACCCCCTTCTGTTTGCTGTAGGCTTAGTATCAATATACGAGTTGCATCTGCCCTGTTTTGAATTCCAAGTCAAACAGGAGCTGCAGGTTAAATGCAGTAGCCCTTTTAAAAGCTGACTCACTGTGCTGATTTCATCACAATACATGAGTCATGAGGAATAGTCATCCTTAGCCAGGCATTTCAGGGGAAGTGGGAAAGGAGGGAATTTTATCATTTATGTTTTGCAAAGTAGGGCAGAAAAAAAATGTCCAGTATGTAGGAAGTGAGCACATTTCACATTGGTAATAACTGAACTGCAAAGGGGCAGTAAGCAGGTGGCATAGAGAAAAAAACAGGAAGGATTCAGCAGATAGTTATGGCTGCGATTTGGGAAAGTTAGATACAAATCTTATATGGGTCACATGTCGTGCCCACGTGTGTTAGAATCAATTTATGAGGACTCTCAGGCTGGGAACTGTAGCGTCCAAAGCACTCTAGAAATATTTTGCAATTTTTGATGAAAACTAATACAACTAGTGCAACAGGTGACTCATAGATAAAAAAGAAGAAAAGTGGGTTTTTTAATTGAAGCTTGGGAGAGCCAACATGGATTTAGAAGTATATTGCATTTTTGTGCACTCAGGCTTGTGTCTCAGGGCCTGAGTGCACGTCTGGCACAGTGAAAATCACTGTGAAAAGAGAGTAACACTATTGCAGGCTGTATTCATGGAACTGGAAGCGAATTAGGATCTCCAGAGGCCAGAAAAGGGCACATGTGTCATAGACTGTCTCTGAACACTTGTAGTTCAAAGTGGAATGCGTTTCCCCTGCGCCTGGGAAATGACACAGGCTTTTGCATCAGGATGGCTATTAACTCTGTCCATGATTAATGACCTTTAAATGCCTTTATTATTTATTTATACATTTATATTGGTACCAGCAACTAAAGCACCTGGGCACCTTGCATTATTAAAACAATTATTCACAAAATAAAGTATCAACCCTTCAGTTTAAAGCTTTGCAGAACTCCCGGAACACAGACAAACCCTTAAACACAACCATTACAATGACCTCTAAATCTGCCAGCAAATTGGCCAAACAGGTCTATGGCTAGAAGCTCCCCAGACCACCCATGGGAGCTGGTTTCAGAGGCATGGACCCGTCACTGAGGATGCCCTGAAGAGTTTACTTCTGGGAATTAGGGTGAGCCAACAGATCATAACTTCAGCAGGGAGAGAGACCACCTCTTTGATTTCACCTGGGTGGGAAGAGGTATAACTGAATTTGAATGCAGTCACAGATGAGAAGCCTAATTATGTTTGCAATAATTGATTTGAAGCTTCTAATCCGCTCGCTGATATATAGTAGGGAGACTGCAGCAGGTCAAAATCAGCTGGATTTCAGAGGACCAGCTGGAGACTTCAGTGACGCTAATTTTCCTTGCCAGATTTTGGGCCAAATCCTGGGCATGAAGGTTTCTGCAAGGGTTCCCTGAGGAAGATGATGGTGTATGGAATCATTCTCCCCACAAAGGAGCAGAGCACATCTGGTTGTGTTCAGAGGCCACTGATGTAGCACCAGGGCTGCAGTAATAGTGTCTACTGCCCTGCCCTTTTGGAGGTGGGGCTCCCACGTCGTGTAATTATCAATCCACTCACCATGTCCCTTCCCCCACAGTACCTCCGTGCAGTGGTGCAGAAAGCACTGGACAGAAGCAGTCTGCAGGTGCAAATTATTGTGTGCAAGTGAAGGAAAGCCCACAGTGCAGCCTTTCCACGCTTAGCACCGCGTACCCCCAAACTGTGGCTTTCCAAAAGAATCAAGAACCTTTTGCAAAAGGTTCTGCAACGTCAAGTTTGTTTAAAGCCCTATGGGCGACTTCATCCTTACTGTTCTTTTCCTTAATGGCAATGACCAACACAGTTTCGCCTCCAACATTATTTTTGTTCCTCAGAGGCAGCGGTCTGTGTGCTGATGTGTGCAGTCTGGATATCACAGATCAGAACCTATGAGTATGTCTACACTGCAATAAAAGGCCTGCGGCATGGCCAAGGCTGGCCTGGGTCAGCTGATGCTGGGTTGTGGGACCTGAACTCACGGGGCTATGCAATTGCAGTGTAGATATTTGGACTTGGGCTGGAGCCTGGGATCTGAGTCCCTGTGAGGGGGGAGGGTCTCAAAGCCTGGGCTACAGCCCAAGCCCAGGTGTCTACATTGCAATGTTTGACTCCACTGCTAGGGTTGCCAACCCTCCAGGACTGTCCTGGAGTCTCCAGGAAGTAAAGATTGTTACGTGATGAAACCTCCAGGAATACGTCCAACCAAAATTGGCAGCCCTACCCATTCCCTGAGCCCGAGTCAACTGACCCAGGGCCTGAGACTTGGTGCCGCAGGTTTTTTACTGCAGCATAGACGTATCCCATGAGAGAACCCAGAGGCCATGCTTTGTTCTGATATTCTCTCTACACAAATCTAGAATTATTTATGAAATGTTAATCCACGGTCTGAATTCCTCCTAGTGCCATAGGGAAGGGAGATACAAGCTGTACTTCCTCTGGTAAATGTGGGCTGCAGTACCACTCCAGGAATCCACCCCGGGGAAGGGAGACCAGTGTTTAGCTGGGTGTTCATTCAGTCATACAATTATGTAAGATTGTCCCTTAATATTCACTCATTTTAATATGCAAATTGCTTAACATAGGAAAGGACTAAATTTCTTAGGACAAAAATGTCAACTGTTCCATAGTATAAATGCCCCAATTTTTTACTACCAAATATTTGTGTTAAAACATAACTTTAAAACTGCACTTACTAATAAGTCATTACAGATTTCACTATAAGATAAGACATTTCATTTATTTAACAAATATGCACTTATCTGTATTTGGAAAAATTCTCCTTTCCCCCCCCTGTTCTGTTTGAAATTCTTTTCACAAAACTCCATCAGCTGGAGAAACTTGGACTCAGAAAGATTCTTGTCATCAGAGATACAACAGAAGGAGATTTCAGAAAACAAGCAGACATACTAAGAATTTTTTAGCAGTCCTAAAGGCAAAAATGACACATATTGAGAATAACTCCATGTCACTTATCTTCTGAGGTGCCCTCATTTATGTGCCTATAGCAACAGTGTATACTGGTATACCGCAATGATACTGTTGAAACAATATCGAGCTTGTGTGGTTTGGACAGGATTTTGTATCTAAAAGTGGGACAGCATAGAAGGACAGTGCTATATGATTCCACTTGCACCTTACCCTGAGAGGATTTTCATTAAGGTACGGGGGTTCTCCTTCCACCATTTCTATTGCCATGATCCCTAAGGACCAGATGTCAACTTTGGGGCCATATGCTTTCCTTGTCACTACTTCCGGTGCCATCCAGTAGGGAGTCCCCACCATTGTGCTCCGTTTGCTCTGCTCAGGTGTGATCTGAGCACAAAACCCAAAATCAGCTGCAGAGAAGGGAAAAAAAATACTGTTAACACCAACTTGGACTATGAAGCAAACAAATACAAATATTCCATTCTCCGCACAAGAATGCATCAAGGTATCTGGCTGGAAACATGGCCATGCTCTTGCTTACGTAACAGGATATAACCAAACAACTATTGAATTTGATTGTTTAAGTTCTTTTAACAAAGTCGGACTCTACAGCTCTTATTTATGTGAGAAACTGCATGTCTTTCAAGCCCTTAGATCAGAACTCTGGGCTCCAAACATAGTCAAATAATTTTGAGTCACCTCAAAATTCTGAGGTTCTGAGATTTCCCTGTGTTGTTAAAATTGTTCTAAAATGAAACATTCCTTGGCTGCAGTGGCCAATGTACTATCACTTCCTTCTGATAACTGGCAGTCGGTTAGCAATTCCATAACAACCACTGGAATAATGCCACCTGAACAAGAACACCTACTCAATTTGACAGATCCATCCATCCCGAGAAGAATGTTGTCACTCTTGATGTCTCTATGGATCACTTGGTTTGAATGCAAGAAATCCAGAGCTTGCAGGCACTGATATAAAAAAGGAACATAAAGGTAAAAATTAATGGCCTGATTTCATTATATGGGGGGATAAAAATATCTTTAAAAGATGTAATTTCTAGATGAATTGTGAGTAATGGCAGAATATTGTGCTGTCAAGTGAAATAGCTTGCTGCTTCAACACTATTAGAATAATAACTTTCTAAATGAAGGCACATTAGATTTTGAATTAGAAATGTCAATTATTGTTACAGACTATAGCCTGGAAGCACAGACGGAATGATTGCTGCTACAGTGAATTTTGCCATCTCTATCCCATATGACAAACTATTATTTGCCAGAAAAGAAAAAAAGTTCTTTCAGTATGAACTGGATCACTATTGGCAAAATGCTGCATGACAAAGACTTTGGGGTTACAACGTACAGCAGTTTTTAAAATATTTTTTAGTCACGTAATTTCTCATACTTGAACAAATTAGCATTTGTTTTTACTTGCAGTTTTTTACATTCTGTGGCAAGATTATTTCCTTTTAAAGGCCAAGGAATAAGGTGCACTGCTGAATTACCGCAGGTAAACATTCAAAGAAGCAAAGCTAAACACTACCAAATCAATAAAAAGTGCCATCAGAACTGAATTTTATTACAAGGATGACATTTTTCAGCAGAACATAGATCTGATTTCCTTTAAGACGCTCTTCCTTCTCCAATATTAAAAAGACAACTTATCTCAAAATACATCTTTGTTTATCCTTTACATTCTTAGCACACCATTACACTACATTACACACTATCCCAGCAACCACATCCATGCATGGCACCTCTTACCTCCCTACACACAGCTGCTATCTGTCCTTCATCCATACAGGTCTCAGTAACAACGTCCGTTAAAGAGCCTCCTGCTAAGTATTCCATAACTACCCAAAGTTCATCGCCTACTAGGTAGCTGAAACAAGAAAATGAAAACACCATCAGTAAGCACAACTATTTACAGAGCTGTTTTGACAAAAAGAAACTCGCAGATGACTTTGCCTATTTGGCATTTTTCATTGATGACCAGATATAATTAACAGTTCACAGTGTTAGAAGAATGTGTGTAGTCCAAATGAAAAGGTAATACGTTATAGGCAATACTTTAACTATACAGCAAGATTTAGATAGTAAAAATGCAGTTTAGAAAATGTAAAGAATATTAAACTAGGCTGTCTCACATTACTTGTTTATATAGAAATATAACCATTAACTCCAAGAGGCATAAGATGCACAGCAGCCAATGGTGTCTGAAGATGGAATTTGATCAACAGTTTGGAAAACCTTGAATAATATAAAGATAGGGAAAGGAAATCCTTCATGTGCTGCCTGCAGAAAACACAATCCAGCTGTAGCTGAATGTTTTTCATGTAGCCTATCAGAAGCAAAGAAGTGACAATACAGCAAGAACATTTTTTAGTGCATTTTTGAAGCATCCATGGATATACAAAAACAATTTTAAAACTGACAAGGCATCCGTTTCTGAAGTGCTTTAAACATGAACATTTACCAAAAAAAAAGGGAAAAAAATCCCAACAGGAATCTAGTCTTCACTGAAATTACATGAATGGTATCCTAGTGGGAAGCACCAGTTGACATAGATTCTATCACTATTTGCCAATGCCCACTTAATAAAATAGGAAGAATGTGTCCTACTAATAAAACGTGCAGATTTATGTAGTTATTGACATTTTTTTCAGTAAAAGCACGTGCTGGTCAAAATTTTCAAAAATTGTGTCTACATAGTTTGCGGGAATCTTTCACATGCACACATGAAGGATAGCTTTCTGTATGCTTGTGTAAATGGATCCTTATGTTCAGTGATCTGCTTTGTGTGCACAAATGGTCATTTGCACACAAAATTTAAAAAAAATGGTCTGGCTAAATCTTTGACGCACCGTATATAAGCAAGCTCTACAATGATAACGACTGGCACAACTTACCTGTCTAAATAGTTAACAATATTAGAGTTCTTATTTTCCCTCATGACCAGGATTTCATTAATAATTAGTTCCTTTTTAGGCTGCTGCTGGAGATTCATTTGCTTTATGGCCACCTACAATGACATTTTGTTAAATACTAAGTTTAACAGCATAAATGAATGAAAAAGAAATAAATGTGTTTGAGACCATATGTTTCAGAGCAGCTGAGAACTATACCAAACTGCCCTTTTATTAGGCATTTGTGCTCAGTAACTTGCATTGCAATACTATGCTTTATACTTTGAAATCCACACTATTTCACCCACTACTTGGGTGCCAATTACAGAGTACACTGCCTTACATGTCTTATTTTGCAAAGTATATAAAATGGCTTTAAAAATGTCATCTTCTACTTAATATCACTAACATTCTGCAGTCCTAGCTTATTCCAAAATGGTCTCAATTCATTGCATTCATTTTTGCAAGTAATTAGTGATTTTGGTACTTTGAGTAAAATAAAAAAATAAAACCATCTTGCAATAGTACGGCAACAATACAAGTTCAATAACTATTCTCCACCGGGAAGATTATTTATTCCCCTTACATAAATTATATAAAATGCATATATCAATTTCATACAAAAAGTGACATTAAAAGAACGTTATTAAGGCAGAAGAGACATACTTAATTCTGACATTTCCTAACTTGAGTGCTTGACTTGGCAACCGAAATAATAGTCTTTTAATGAAGTCTTGTGTGCAATTTTCTAGGTTTGTAAAAAATAAAAAAACCTGTAACCCCCACCACCCAGATATTCCATCTCACAGCATCATACTGGCACCAAGTTGGGGGTCATCAGCAGGGTTAGAACCTCTAGATCCACCACGCAGATCTCTGCCACTTGAGCTAATGAAGTAGCTGATAGCAAAATTAGATTGTCATCCTCTACGTGGACCAATGTTAGAAGGGAATGAGATACTTTGCCAGCGGGTTTCACAGATGTTTGTAAATAGCAGAGGAATGGTGAGAGGCAAATCTTGGGTTCCATCCCAGACTGCAGACTCTTCTGCCCATATCCGCCCCAAGTATGACTTCTTTTGCCATGTCCTCTGAACCTGTCCCTACCCCAGGCTTGTCTCTTCTTCCCCACCCTGGTTGCTCATCCCAGTCCCATTCTCTTCACCTACCCAGTCCCAGTCTCCACTCATCAGGCTTCTTATCCCAGTTCCACTCTCCTTGACCAACCTGTCCTAGTCTCCCCATCTAGACTCTCCATTCCACTCCCAGTCTTCACCCTCCCCTGTGCTCCCAGTCTCCTTGCCCAAACATTTCCAGTCTCCTTGCCCAGCCAATCCCAGTTCACCGTAACCTGGCTTCTCATCCAATCTATCTCCTTCCCTCCCACCCTTGGCCTTCCGTCACCTTCCCACCTCTCCCTTGCTTATGTTCCCTCTCCCCATTGTCTTCCTCCCTGGGCTCTTCATTTGGTCTCCTCCACCTCCCCAACTCTTTGTCGCACTCTCCTTGCACAGCTGGTCCCAGTTCTCCCCCTGCACATTGGTTTCCAGTCTCAGTCTCCTTGCACAGCCAGTCCGTCTTCCCCAACCCAGCTCCCAGTCTCACACTCTTTGCCCAGCCAGTCCCAGTTTTCCCCCAACTCCTACTCCCTGTTTCCCCCTTTCCTCCCCATCCACCACCCTCCTTGTCTAAATCTACTCCTAACCCTCATCCCAGGTCTGACTCTTGTCCCCTCCACATTTGAATCAGGCAGCTTCCTTCTCCACACTGCCTGGACCCAGCGGTGGGGGTGCGGGAGTGGTAATCGTCTCCCTGCTTTCATTCCTGGGCCCAGCCCACAGCAGCAACTTCAAGAAAAGTGCTACTCAACCCCCAGCTGGAGCATGCCCAGTGCAGACAGAATTTGGGGGAACTGAACTGCTAAAAATCTAAGACATCTCTACTGAGCACACGTAGTGATTTTTCAAACGCTTATAACATTGCCAAATTTGAGCAGATTATTAATTGGGATGCAAAGGCACATCCCTGATAGAAAGGCCAAATTTCAAGTCCCTGCTCCAAAGCATGGAGACACTAGAGATTCTCAAAGAAAAAGTTGCCAGAATTTTTAAACATGGACAAAATAATGTAGTTTTCAATAGCCTCATTCTCAGAGATAGCTGAACCATTTTGACTAAAAAATTTCAAAAATAATGTGTGGCCTGCAGCAGATCTCTGGCAACTGAAAACAGGGTCTTATAACAGGAAATGTCAGGCAACCATTATATGACTTGGTATTATCTGTCCCATATGCACCGGAGGTGAAATTCACTCCATCTCAAAAAACAAAGGGTTTGAATGGGGAATGAATGAAATCCAGTTTATCTAACATGGGACAAGCAGCCCCTTCATGGCCACTACTCCAGCTCTGTGTTGGCCTCTTTGGACCTGGTTAAGAAATCATTTCCCTGGAATGCAGGTGAGCAGGAACTGTAAGGCATCCAAACAAGGAGTCTCAGATAGACCCCTCCCACAAGAACTGGGTAAGGTCCCAATACTCCAAGCATTTATACATGTGCTTAACTTTAAGCACATGAGCAGTCAGTCAATGGGATTATTTCTGTGATTAAATTAAGCACGTGTGTAGACGTTTGCAGGACTGGGGCCTAAACATGTATTTTCATGGTAGATGTTAACTATTCTACACCATTTTAAAGGGTACAGGAACCCTTATAAAAATCCCATTACTGTATATTAGTCACATAAGCAGTTTAATGTGTTTGTGTCTGATCCTGAGAGAAGTCACTGGGAGCTTTGGTGGTCAGCACCTCTGAAAATCATGCCATTTTTATTTGGATGTAGGGGTCTCATTTTAGTCACCTAATCTTGCAAATGTTGACCTTTATCCAAGATTTTATGTAATTTAAAAAACTTTGGTTTGAAAAAAAAGAAAAGAAATTAACATGCAGGTGACAACTAAAAGTAGCAAAACTTGGGAAGTTCAAACTCAAGACATTCTTAATTTAAGATCTCATTCATTCTCCACTCCCCGCACCGTGACCAGCTATTGCAAGGTCACACTTAGATCGATGTGTAGTGTCTTGTACTGTGAGACATGACCTAAGCATAAATGGATGTTTTAAGGACAGATCTTTACCTTTAATTTTGAGTTTTCTTGTTTTTAATGGTCTGGGTCAACCAACTTCAATGTCACTAAAATATAAAATTGTGGCTCAATAATGCTCTGTCTTTAATTAATATTTGCAATGCACTTTGAAGATGAAAAGTGCTGTAGATAAGTGTTAAGGGATATTACTATAGTTGAATCAATTATTAAGATAAATTGGAACGAAGTGACGGAAACATCCATCGGCTAATCTGACAACAGGTTGTTGTGTTAATACATTCAGTAATTAAGACAGAGCTAGCATGTCCTTCTGTGCAGGATATAACTTCTCTTTTCATACTCTTTCTGGTTACGCTTTCTGGCAGTGCTTAATAATGCTATTGGACAACTTTCTCAGGTCACTGCAATGAACCGTATTTATTCCTAATACCAATTAGAGATGGGCCGAACTGTTTGACAAACCCTGGGTATCTTCAAGCCTGGGGTTATCCATAAGTCTGTAGTTAGGTTAGAGGATGCACAATCTATATTTCCCACTAATCTAAAGTCTGATCTACACAAGTTTTGTGTGTTGTAAATTTACAGATATAGGCTCTTTTGATATAAATACCTTTATACTGGTATAACTGCTTCCACACTATAGGATCACACAGATCAGTAACAAAAACGATGTGTAAACCAGCAATAGGTGCTATCTGGGATGCCTTTACAGATTTCTCTCTATACCGCAATACAACCAGGAATGCTGTAATAGTCTAGGTTGCTAGTTGGGATTGATAAAATTTAAGAGGATGCAAGAACTGGTTTGAGGAAAGAGTAGGTAGGGGAAATATTCCACTTAACAACTGGCCATACTAAAGGTGAAATTCTGGTTCTATTTAAGTCAATAGCAAAGCAAAGTAACTGATACCTATATGTGAACAATGAGTATGACATAATATTCATGATAAAAGAGAAAATATTGAAGAATTACATAAAAATCCGGATTTAATATTAGCACTCACCTCTTGTCCTGTGGCAATGTCTATTGCTGTATAAACAGTACCCGATGCCCTAGAAAAAAACAGCATCCAAGAAGTGAGGGGATGTACAGTGCCTTTGAGCAAAGTTAAATGCATACACCGTATCTCTGCCGAAGATGTTTACAAAATACATTTATTCAACCAGCACAGTATTTCGCTGTGTACAACAAGCCACCGCATTATGCAAAGGATGCAAGATAAAAACCCAAGCTCAGCACCTGAGTGAAAGGAGCACCCTGAGTCATTTGTTGTGACTAGACCTGGCCAAAATGAAAGCAATTTTTTTCTATGAAAAATGATTTTTATTTATGTTTTGGGCTTTTTTGTTGAAAAATGAAAAACCAAAAAATGTTCAGGGTCCTTTCTTTCCCCACCCCCCCAAAAGCCAAACATTTTTGCATCCAAATTGTGACAAAAAATGAAACATTTTCATTTTCTTCTGTTTTGTTATTGCAGGAAATAAGATACATCTCCCAACCAGCTCTACCTATGACCCCTCCAGATGATTTAGGGGTACACTTTATGGGCTTCAGAGGGAGCTGTGCTCAGTCCTCCTTTCCTAGGAGGGCTCTGGGGACTCTGGCAGTGGAGGATAAGAAAGCAGGCAAAAATTAGGGAAAAGGATTCCCTTTGTAGATCTTCCAGGAGTAAGGGTACGTCTACACTACCCGCCGGATCGGCGGGTAGCGATCGATCTATCCGGGATCGATTTATCGCGTGTAGTGCAGACACGATAAATCGATCCCCGATCGCTCTCCTGTCGACTGCTGAACTCCAGCCTGGCGAGAGGCGAAAGCAAAGTCGATGGGGTAGCGGCGACCGTTGATCCCGTGCCGCGAGGACGCGAAGTAAGTGATTCTAAGTTGATCTAAGATACGTCGACTTCAGCTACGCTATTCTCGTAGCTGAAGTTGTGTATCTTAGATCGATCTCTCCTCCCCCAGTGTAGACCAGGCCTAAGACACAGTTACAAACTGAGGATTATCAGTGCCTGAGATGCTGTTAGTTTACTACCCGAAGATTACAGCCTACACTGGGTTTGCTTGTAGGCTTTCTGCAGAGCCACTGTTTGTTTTCTTTAGTCTTAAAGCAACAAGCAACCCTTGACAATATCTCAATTTTCCTAAAGGTTTATCTTAACATTGATGAAAAACATCTAGGAGAGATTCAAATGTGGTTGAGTTGAGCTACTTATGTTTTTTCCTAGCTTCTTGGATGAAGCGCTGCAAAGTTTATTTCCTATTCTCAACATCCCATTTTCTGCCCAATTGCTCACCTTCTATGAGCTCTCTTTTGGTTTTTCAACATTGCACAGCTGTCCTGATATTTTAAATGTTTTCCTCAGAGCCAGGGTTTGCTGATCTTCACAACATGGATGGATGATTTAGGAAGCCTGAGGTTCTTCTTGAGGCAGAGATTTGCTGAGGCCTCGGGCTGGCCCTGAGTTAACTTGCTATATTGCGCTATGTGATTTTTAATTGTATACATGCACTTAGAGATTATGTTAATTTTATTTGTAAAATTCTGCTAGGTGAGAAGTCCTAGACTCCTAAAAATGAATACAAATAAATAAATAAGAAGCCCCAGATTCCTAAGCACATCGAGTCACTCGGCAGCTTCCTATTTTAGGGTGTCAGACATTTGAATCCTTCATCGCCCTTACATTCATGTTTCATTTTCAAAGCAGATCTGGAGTCTGTCATAGAGCCACCAGAAAATAAAGTGACACACTGATCGGCATATGCAGACTAGACAGTCTGTTTTTTTGCCATCTGTTCCTGATTAAGAAAGATTCTTTCCCTACAGTGTTGTGGATGACTAGAATTGGGAAGAGGTAATACACAGAGTAAACCACCTAACGGATTTAAAAGTCGAGGGGCCATGGTAACATTTGTTAACACTACTGGAGGCTAACACCTGAATTAAAGCATTGGTTCTCAAACTGTGATCATCTAGAGAGCTTTTCCTGCTTGTCTGCAGAAGTGGATGGACCAGGATGGAAATGTTGGGAAGGGAAGCTGGAACGTTTACTTACTCTGAGTGAAAACCTGCTAATTTCAATTGAAACCAGTTAGTGTTGCCCAGTGTTACATGTTAGTTCTGTTCACCTCGAAGCTGAAATATTTCCATAGCATTTTAATTTGCCAGACTCACTCTTTTGTGCACCACAGACTGAGTGCCTGAATTGAAAACAATGTTATCATTTGGCATGCTATGCATTCTTTTAATATAAATGCAAATGCATTTTTCTATGCAAATGCATTTTCTAATTGTGGAGATTAATCCAATTTGTTTTCATAAAAATCCAACAGTTTATTCAGGGTTGCTAATACTGAGCTGTACTTCTTAGCTCACGCCTGTTAGGGTTTATTTAAAACAGCTATTTGAATTAGGATGCTTCTTTGTAAGCGCAAGGCTATCTGCTAAGAATTTAGATAGGAACCAGAAACTGATTTGAGCCAGTGTAGCCTTCTCTATCAAGCAGCCATAACGTATGTTTCCTAGGTATTTTGAAATGTCCTCAAATCCTAAACCAAGGACAAACCCCCAAAAAGAGATTCAGCTCTGAAGCTCACCTATCTCTGAGTGCGACTCTGCTGACTAATGTACACTGTTTACTAGCCATATGGAGCACTGCTGAGTGATTGCCCACCCAATTCACTTTTCCTTATATCCAAAGCTCCTCTTCAACTGAAGTCTGCCAGGGAAATCATGTCTTCCCCTCTAGTCTCCAGTCTCCTTATTAACAGCTACTGAAAGATCTAGCCACTCATTTCCTATTCTATTACTATCTTCAATATCATATTAATGGATTATTTGTAATAAATGCCAGGAAATCAGCTCAATAACCTGTGTCATCTTCATTAAGATTAACTAAATACATAAACAGCCACATCATCTCATTTACTATGTCCCATCCTGTAAATAAGCGCATCAACTCCTTGTCTCACTTGAAAAGCAAAGCCTGAGTGGATAGCATCCTCAGAACAAACTTCACTTCCCACGTGCTTCAGCTCTCTTTTGGGACCTGTATTCAGTGCAAGGTAAAGGAGCATTTACAATTCCCTTTGCCAGACTCGTGAAATATGTGGAATGAAACTTTGATATCACAGCCGTCAAAATATATTTTCATCTTGGCTATAAGATTAAACTTCTGTCCTGTCCTCATAAAACCAAAGGGGTTGTTTTTGTACGTCTTTTCTTTGAATGCAAACACTGCTCTGCATTTGTAAGTCCTTAATCTGAGTCATTATATATTTTTTACATTTTAAAAAAAGATGGGAGTGTCTCAAAAAAGCTTCTTTCAGGGAAGCCTGCAATGATTCAGATGCTAATCCAAAATTCTGTGGTTACAAAATCAAACAGGAATTCTTAAGAGAATAGGTTCTCTTTCTCAAAGTTGTGAAAGATATTATACATCCCACTTTTAAGTGACTAAGAAATCCAGCAAGAATAGCTTCTCTCACTATTTTCCTACCTGCAGGTCTGAAGTTTAAAGTCATCATAATACACAGTAGGTAGAGAGTTGATAGTGATGCTGATAGCTAAGGCTGCTCAACGTTTTTCATTATAAGACCCTGTTTCCAGGTGCTTATAACTTTGCCAAACTTCAACCATTTGGGATGAAATTTTCCATGTGGTGTGTTGGTCTCAGGCTACTTTTTTTTTAAGCTTCAGCTAAAAAATTTTTTTGAAAGTTCAGCCATTTCCAAGAATGTTATTTTGCCTGTTAAAAAATTCCTACAACTGTTTCATTGGGAAGCTCTAGTAAGTCCACGTTTGGAAGTAGGGACTCGAAATGTGGTGGGAGAAAGCAGGTTACCCTAGTGTCAAAGGTGCCTTTTGCTGTCCTCCTGACATTGAATGAGGCAGGGAAAGTTGTGTAAAAGAAGTGTGAGATCATTTAATTAAATACTGTCATAATGCAAATGCACAAGCAACCTTAATTGTGTCATTTCCTAACTTTTAAGAGCTTGACTTTACAACTTTAACATGCGTAAGACGGGTTGTTGGGGTGTTTTGGGGAAGCTTATATCTATATATATGAAGTTAACAAGAGCTCAAAATGGTTCTGGTCTATTTCAAGTTGAATTTTGGGCAATAATTCCAGACAGTTCTTATTTTATCTAAACTTCTTTGCACGATCATATTTTGGAACAAAATGTTTGCCATCAAAATAAGTTATTTTGGTAATAGCAATATTTATGTGCCTTGCAGTTCCCTGACAACCACTGCACTCGTCACTATCTGTAGTTCTAGGGTAAAGTGACCTGCTTAAAGGAAGAATGTGTTTGCTACAGTCTTAACATTGTTCTGTAGTGTCTGGACAGAAAAAGAAATGCAGAGAGAAGTGAGTTTGTTTCTATAGTTACATAGACCTTCCTTGTATCCATTGCTTGCTGTTTTCAGCAAAACTTTCCGCTTAGAGGCAAGGTCATGGTGTGTGTGTCTCTCTCTCCCCTCCCTCCTCCCTCTCCAAATTCACATAATCCCAACTAAAGAAACAGCCTCTTCATGTCTTTGATAAAATTGCTGTCTAATACACTGGAGTACAGCATGTTAAATTTAGATTTTCTGTGAAGTTTTGCGTAAAAGTGAATAACACATAATGCTCCAATTCTAGAAGCCCAAAGTAAGAACACTGTTAGAATAATGGCTACTAAAGCTATACCTGCTTCTAAACTCCTGGAAAGATATTTGCTTCTACCATGATAATACATTGTTTAATGTACAACCCAGGCAAAAAATCTTATGGTTTCCCATAAGATTTCATGATGGTTATCAGAAATGCAAAGACTTTAATTCTTCTGTAAATAATAATTTGTGGCTGTGGTAAATAACTTGCAGTAACACATGCTATTAGTGTTTGTTTATCTCATCACAGGACTGCAATGATCTCATCTTTGTAATGCACAGCTCTGGTGAGAATATGCCTCGTGCTTAATCTACAAGTGATTAGATTTGTGATTTCACAAGTCAGAGAATTTCCACAAAAACAATACCATAAAGAGGCACCAGCATAAGCACAGGAAGACACAAGTTTTCATTGAATTAAGAACTCAAGAAGTTAAAGAAGAGCCTAATTTCTCACTACTTACATACATGCAGTTTGACCCCGTTTACAAGATTTACATTCTAAAATGTATATTTATGGACATTAGAAAATACTCACATTGGGACTTAAGATGATCAAAAAGTTCCTATCTAAACCCATTTAGAGCACCCTGTAAGGTGGACTATGGCTCTGTTATACTATTGGTCATATTACATTTCATTTCTCGTTTAACTCTAACTAGCACATTTGACGTTGTACAATCAGAATGAAGATGTACTTTTATCTATTTTAAGTGATATAAGGTAAATGAAAGTAGTGAAAGCTGACATTATTTGAAATCGTCTTCCCATAACTGCCCTTTCAAACCAGAGTCTTTTTATTATAAATCTAAAAGAAAAAGCAATGTGAGCTTGAAAAGACATGGTCTCTTCTTGTTCTGCATATACCAGTTCCAAGTCAACCAGAAGTTACAGAAAATTCAAATCCAATAATATATACAATGCGCAAAGATACCTGCTAACCTCAGTACCCTTAATTCAGTGATAATTATTGCTGGTAACCTGAAGGCCCAATTCTGCTCTTACATGATGTAAATCAGGAGTAACTCCACTGAAAACAATGGAATTACAATGTTGCATAACTAGCTGAGATGGAGAAGAGAATCAGATCCTATCTGTAGTCAGCGTTAGTATTTAAAATGCATGTCAGACACCACACAATTTCAAAATTACCTTGTTCTTACTAGTCTGATAAAGCATACATGGGATTCCATTCTGGGTAAATGCCTAACACTTTGAAGACACCATCTTTCTGATTACTAGCAAATGCTGTCTCTTATGGCCAGCTATTGAGGTTTCTGTGTATCAGAATGAATTGCATTTCTCTATACATACTTTTCATTATATATGCTGGGAAACAAGTTATTTAGCCTCTGATTTTTGTTCTCAAATTACATGATTTTAAACCTGACTCCTGAAATATTCTCTTTAACCACTAAATGATTTTTGACTAATGTCATTTTGAGCTGTACAATAACACCCATCAGATAAAATTATAAATGTCATTTTTTATGCAATAAAGTACAAGGTAAACTTCTGTTTCTCTAGTAGGCCCATGTAATTCTTGGTCATATCAAAATTGGCTTCTTCCATGAAGGCAGATGAAGCACACCACACAGATGAGGGATGACAAGTTTGCTATGTGCCAGTAACTTATGCAATCAAGCCAGCCATCATGAACATTTCTTTGATGACTCCTCTTGGCCGCAGGAAAACACTGATCAATGTGGAGGGAATAAGTACAATCAAAACGAATATTCTGAATGTAATAATAAATGGAAATATACTATCTCCTAGAACTGGAAGGGACCCTACCCTGAAGGGTCATCGAGTCCAACCCGCTGCCTTCACCAGCAGGACCAAGTACTGATTTTGTCCCAGATCCCTAAGTGGCCCCCTCAAGGAATGAACTCACAACCCTGGGCTTAGCAGGCCAATTTTCAAACCACTGAGCTACCCCCTTGACTTCAATGAGGTAATGCCAGCAAAGTATTTGGCCCATATTTATACATATAACTCCAACTGTACTTACCCTTGACCAATTTTTTCAAATCGTGTATATTTCTTCTTAGGGTCACCAACACTCACAATGCTTCCTGAAAGAAAAAAGAACAATGAGTAATATATCTTCAATGACAACCTGTGGCAAGTCAAAAATCCACCATTATTGCCCGGCATTATTGCCATTATGTGCAGTTTAGATTCAATATGATACTACTAGAGCACACGGATCAGAAATAAGAGTAGCAGTTTACTAATTCAGGTGGCATCTACTTTTTTTTTAATCCATTGATGAGTATGTTTGCCTCTGGAGCTGGAAAGAAAACTAAGAACACGAACTGTGGAGAAGAGCTCACATAACACTCAGACATGAGATAACGAATGAATAAATATGCAAATGAGTTTCTATGCTTAAATGTTAATGAGTGCTAGCATAACAACGCTAATTTCCTCAGAACTAGCTAGTCTTTTTATGATTCCGCAGGGGGGTTCATACTTTCATATATTGAACCCAACTTTGTTTTTGGACTCAACTTTTATAAACAGTTGCCATGTAGAGACTAGGAAGAAAGTGATAAAGAGTTTCCTGGAGTGACTCTCCATTAGCCCTTCCTTGGTTTGCCTTTTTAAAAAAACAACAGTTAACATCAAATAATTAATCACAGGCTTTTGACAATCTTTATTACGTAGGCTTCATTGTGAAAGAGATCTAATTCATTTATATAAGAGCAACACTCTTGTCTTCAGTCTGACTTTGATCAGTAACAAACATTTTACTCGATACTTTACAGTGTACCCACATGCTAATCTTACTACATGAAACGGCATTTTAAACGGATTAGAAGAGCAGCAGTATTCTTCAGACTGTAGCTTTTAACTTCTTTAAAAAGTTATCTACATTAATAAGGTGCTAGTAATTTTATAAATAAATTGATCTCAATAACAAGCTATGGTGGATGGAGTGCTGCCCTCTACTGAATAATTATTGCAACAACAGGCATTGATTGAAAGGCTTTGCATGTAATATTCAGAAAGTTGCAAATGAATTAAGGGTGGGATTTTCAAAAGTGTGTGATTTAGGAGCACAAGTCCCATTGAAAACAAAAATGCTAATAATTTGGTAGTTTCTTGCTTGGCCAGAAGTGTAAATGGGCTGAATCAGGAGGAAATAGGGCAGTATTTGGGAAAGAGTGTGTAAGCAGAGTCTGAATGAGCTCTCACCTGACATCTAGTGGTGAGCTGTGGAAAAGGACTTCAGGAGCTGATCTCATTTGCATGGGCACACCCACCCTGCCTAGGTGCTCAGTCTTCTTGTTATGCTTGTGTGAATCGAGGGCAGCAGAACTGTATCTGGCATACCCCGATTGAGGGACTCACCCTCAGCTGAACAACACTTTCTAGGCAGGGGACATGGGTTCCAAAACACAATGAGTTAAGAGAGGGTGGGGACTGGTACTTATACCTGTTAGTGTGGGTCCAGTTTAAGGGTCCTAGACACCATTTGACCCCCCGCCCCTTCCATAATAAAAGAGCTAATTTAGACTCAATTGAGGGTCATGTTACATGCTGAAGAGCTGAAATCACTGATACCTAGATCTAAGTATTGGACCTACTTTGCAAGAGACTGCCCAGTGTGCACCAGCAATGAGGTTCCTCCACTAACAGCTGAGAGCTGTGTTAAGTGGTGGGCCCTGAAGACATCTTGGCGATTGGCCAGCTGTGTGGCTGGTGGAGAGGCTCAGCGAGCAGGCGGCTGGTGGAGAGGTGTGGCCAGCAGGCGGCTGGCATAGAGGTGTGGTGAATGGGCGGCTGGCGGAGAGGCGTGGTGAGCGGCCAGCAGGGTGGCTGGCCGAGAGGGCCAGAGCAGAGCCCCACAGAGAGGTGTGACAATTGGCGGTAGGGCGGCAAGTGAGTGCCCGAAGCAGCAGAGCGTGTAAGGTGCCTCCTTACCCACCCCTTCCACCCAAGGTGGGAGGTGAACTCTGCAGATGAACCTCTGAACTCTGGGGCAGCACTAGCCCAGGACTGCAACTGTGAGTGGGGTGCAGAGGAGGGACGGGCACGTTAAAGGGACTTTTGGGTTGCTGGACTTAAAAACCTGACAAGAAAAGGACACTGCCCAACTTACTTGGGAGTGGGTCTTTTGCTCATGGTTTATGTTTATAAACCCTAGTTGTGGTGTTTTCCCAAATTAACGCTGAGTTTTTTCCCTCATTTTATTAAAAGTTTTTGCTACACTCAGACTCTGTGCTTACGAGAGGGGAAGTATCGCCTCTTAGAGGCGCCCAGGGGGTGGTGTGTAATTGTCCCAGGTCACTGGGTGGGGGCTTGAGCCGGTTTTGTGTTGTATTGGTGAAAAGGAACCCCTAGATACTGAACCCAACCCTCGTTGCTGCTGGCTCCACCTGGCAGAAGGGTTACATGTGCTTAAATTGAGTAATGAAGCCACAATCTTATAAACCAAATAATATAAAATTAATGTTACCTTTTCTAGTCCATTTTCCTAGATAAAACATAAAAACTGATGAAAAGTAAAAACTAAAGATTTAATGGCAGGGTAAACAGCTACTAAAGATTTAATGTACTGTGTATACTACTAAAATATGTTGAGAAGATTATTCCTTGACTGAGAAAAAAATGTCTGGAATGTGATGATTTTTGTGCACATATCTGGAAATTTACACCTCTCTCTCTCTCTCTCTCTCTCACACACACACACAAACACACACACACACGTGTTTGCCTGTAATTCCAAAATATGGACATCTAGTTGAGCTGCCAGTAATTGTAAGTAAGTCTCTTTCTCGCTCCTGTCTACGGTATTACTATGGAGCTCAGTGCTCTGGTATCTAATGCTGATGGGCATCTGATTGACTCCTCTCTGGCCAGTGCAGTGGGAAGCACAGATATTGTCTGGTGCACCCTTTAGTAAAAGAATCCTGCTGGTCAAGGACCGATCCCTAATGGGGAGCTGTGGGGAACGGGGATGTGCTGTGGCACGTGCTATACTACTCTCCCAACCAGGAGCATCATGATCCGCCAGCCAACATTTGCTACTGATCCCAGCAGATGTTCTTGCTGGCTGGAGGTGCAGCAACCGGCTCCCACACACCTCATCCTATAAGAGTGCAGCACAAGGTATTCTAACTGTATTTTCAGACTCCACATCAAACATTTATTGAACTCAGCACTTCAGGGACCTTGCTAGAAGTTAACTAGTTTACACTTAGGTGGAAAAGCGATAATCCCCACTCACTGACAAATGATTGATAAATGGAAAAGAAATGGCCTCTCTTCAAGTGTGTCATGGGTTTGCTCAAAGCAAACTTCAAACAGAAGGACAGCACTGAAATGCTATTGATTCCAGTCCACTTATGCTCTCTGAAGTTGGTAGAGTGATTATATACGGCCACTAACCAACCCTTTCCCACAGATTGAGAGAAGTGCAGTAAATGTGTTTAAAATAAAAATAATAAAAATGACATCCAGAAAGGAGAAATGAAATGATTCGATTTTAAAGTAATTAAATACTTCCCATGATAGAACAGTGATTTCTGAGGAATATGGAAACAATTCTCTGCATTGCTCTTTCAGTTGTAGACACACAATCACAACACTTTACTGTCCCCTTTAACCAGAGACTTTTTTTTAGCAGGGAAAAAATGTATTACGAATGTTTGTTATTTTAAGAAACAGTAGTGTCCCAATGACAGTGGCTTGGAATTATCCGTAATTAGAATGAAGGGCATTTTAGGCATAAAGGGAACTTACACAAAAATGCTTCATGGTGAGTTGAGATTCATTATAGCAGAGAGGAGCTATATAGCAAAAGAGCCACTTCTTCACCTTGGGAATAATTATATGCTCTCCTGATCCTCTGCAGTGGCGAGGGCACTGGCTGCTGGGGCAGAGTACACCTTCATTTTCATTTGGTAGATGATGCAGCAAGACGAGCCAAACTCTGTTTTACTCCACAGGAGGGACAGCTGCACGGAGACTTACTTCTCCTGCATGGAGCAGCGGCAAATGCTCTTTAGCCTGGTCCATGCCACAAAAAATACCTGTTGCTGACAACAGATGCAGCTGAATTGATAATGAACACAGTTTAGCGCCAATCAGAGCCTAGAATAAACTGTGTTCAGCATCCCTTCAGAAACTGTACTTAAAACCTGCAGTCTGCAAGGTAGTAACTGCTGTATTCCAAGGGGAGTTGCACAATGGAACTCTATTAGAGCAGTGATACTTCCTATAAGAGTGAGCTTCCTTATAGGAGTAGAAATCCACTGAGGCTAGGTCTACACTGGGGGGCGGGGGGAAATCGACCTAAGATATGCAACTTCAGCTACACAAATAGCGTAGCTGAAGTCGGCGTATCTTAGGTCGATTTACCTGGCCGTGAGGACGGCGTCGAGTCGACCGCTGCCACTCCCCCATCGACTCCGCTTCCGCCTCTCGCCGCGGTGGAGTTCCGGAGTCGACAGCAGAGCGATCGGGGATCGATTTTATCATGTCTACACTAGACGTGATAAATCGATCCCCGATAGATCGATCACTACCCACCGATCTGGCGGGTAGTGTAGACATACTCTGAAATGCATAATGAAAGACAGGAGTTTTACTATATTCCATTTTGCTGCAAACAGAGTCTCCAAAGAATTGTATCAAGAATCACTCTAACTTAGGGCTGTGTTGAATACTACTAAATCTGTGTCTGTATTGACGGCAATAGTGTACCCATCAAGAGGACTTTCCGGGAGCTCACTTAGAGGTGTAACAAGACACTAGTTTCCTGCTACAAGAGATCAGAGAAGAAAGAGACAAACAAATACATTTAGGTCAAACTTTTCAGAAGTGGCCACTGATGTTGGGCGTCTCAACTTTCAGGTACCTAATTTTGTAAATTACTTTAGTAAAATTAGTTACAGTTTCTCCTCTCTTCTTCCTTTTACACCAGTGCAAATCAGAGTAATTCCACTGAAGTCAACATTATACTGTTGTAAGACCCCAATTCAGGATAGCACCCCGTAACACAGGTCAGCACTTAAGCATGTGACTAACTTTAAACTTACAGTTAAGAATATGCATAACTGCTGTCCTGAACAGGGATGGACTTAAGCGCATGCTTAAGTGCTTTCTCAAATCAAGGCCTAAATCAGGCGTATATGAACGCACAATCAGGACATTTATGTTTTACAATTATAATGGAAAATATTAATGATTTCATTGTAGACAGAATTTCATTTTATCCCATCTCAATACTAGAGCATTGACTCCCCAGTAAAATATGTGATGAAAGTGATCACAAAGGGGGAGGGATAGCTCAGTGGTTTGAGCATTGGCCTGCTAAACCAGCATTGTGAGTTCAATCCTTGAGGGGGCCATTTAGGGATCTGGGGCAAAAATCTGTCTGGGGATTGGTCCTGCTTTGAGCAGGGGGTTGGACTAGATGACTTCCTGAGGTCCCTTCTAACCCTGATATTCTATGATATTTCACACAGAAGAGAACTGAACGAATTTGAAGGCTAGGATTTCTTTCTAAAATCTCCACGTCACATATTTGCTCGAGGCAGACCTTCAAAGACTTGCTCATGTGGATATCAGATTCCGGAGCTAGCAAAAGGAGAGCAGGTGGTCATAATGCTTCAAAGAAATAAATGGAAATAAATCCAGGGCTCAGTTCTAAGCTGAGAAACATGGGCAATTATAGCTGTACATCTTGAATAATCCATTGCTGCAGGTATGCATGCCTCATGAAACCAGCAGTGTGCCTGGGGATCTCATGTTAGAAACATACCTCAAATATGTAGCCTTAGCTAAAGTAGCCATTATGAGTTAATATGCAAGGGGGTAGCTACCTGCACTAGAAAATATCTACTAACTTACTTCATTGTCTCCTGGATACTACCTAGCTTCTTTGAGATCCAACTCTTAATAGATCTACCATAGAATCATAGAAATATAGGACCTGAAGGGACCTCAATAGGTCATCTAATCCAGTCCCTTGTGCTCAAGGCAGGACTAAGTAATAACTAAACATTCCTGACAAGTGTTTGTTTGTCTAACCTGTTCTTAAAAGCCTCCAATGATGGAGATACCACAACCTTCCTGGGCAATTTGTTTCAGTGCTCAACTGTCAGTTTTTCCTAATGTCCAACCTAAACCTCCCTTGCTGCAATTTAAGCCCATTGCTTCTTGTCCTATACTCAGAGGTTAACAAGAACAATTCTTCACCCTCTAGCAATCTACCAGTCAATCTGCAAAAGGCACTACAGTAACTCTACAGTAGTGTTTGGGTTCACACTTTTAAGGGGTAAGCACTAGGATTCCTATCAGATTGTAATGATGTTCGTTAGTTAATACTAGCAGTGATGAACAAGAGACACCTTGAGCACAGGTACAAGCAGTAACATTTGCCTGGTCAGTAAAGAACCACACTCTCTGCTGTGAAGAGGCGGCTGTTATAAAAGTGTTGCATTACAGATTATCTCAAACTTTTATTCATTTTAAGGACACATTTTTCTCAATTCAGAATGTCGTTGACTTCAGAATCAAATTTAAAATGTTAAAAAAAAAAAGATCTAGAACTCTCCACTCAAATTATTTATCAACTAGTTAGAGCTGGGGACAGACTGAAATGGCCTATTCTTGGAATCTGAGTATCCATCTGCTAAGAAAGTAGCAATGATCAGTCATTTTGCTTAGAAGCCTGAGTAAATCTCTTCTGCTCTAGACTTACCAGGATTTGGCATACATCCCTGGACCATGACCAATTTATTTTTTGGGGTAGCTCAGAAGTAGACTCATTACAGAATTATTTGATTAGGAATTAATTGTGACAAAGTCTCATGTACATACTATAATGGATGCATTGATGGTTAGCTACTGAGAGATGCTTGCAGAGATGTAACGTAATCAGTTCTCAACGATTTTTAATCAGCATCTGATTACCCCAGATTACTGGCACCAACTTCTTTTTATACACTTTTAATGAGTGAAGCTAAACAGTAAAACTAAACTGAGTATAGTATAAAGACAGATTTCCATTAAAAGGCATTTTTTTCAGGGTTTTATAACTTCCATTCTTTTATATCTATCTTGATTTGAGAACATACACGTCACGGCATACCAAACCCAGCTCCAGCAACCTTTAAAATGCATCCTGTCCTGCAAGAATGGAGTGTCTTTATAAAAAGGGACTCAGTCTTTTAAAAGGACCACAACTTTCAGGGCATGAGATTCCCGGAAGGCAGGAGGAATTTTAACGGGGTTTGACTATGTATATGAATTACATGGTGACCGTAGTAATACCATATTTTGTTGAGATTCCAACAGAATTTACAAGCTGAGCAGGAACAGGCTGAGATGATGCCTAGTTGGAAGAACTCCAAGGAATACTTAGATGCTACAGGAAGTAGCAGTGGGTATTCCATCAGCAGCACTATAATGTAGACCCCTGCAACCCGACGGCACCCAGCTACAAGTCTCAGGTCAGGTCAAGTATGAAAACGACACTCTTTGGCTCGGGTCAGGACATTTTTAACATCTGCGTGCATGTGACTTCAATTTTCTGATGCCCTCGTCCAACTTCCTATTTTTGCCTCTCTCCTCCTCCCTACTCCCCTCCCTCCCCTTTCCCAGTCTCCTCCCCACCATTCCCCTGCTCCTCTCTCCTTCCACCCTTCTTTCTTTAGTCTCGCTCCTCTCCCCTCCCCTCACCCCTTGTCTGAGCCTCTGGCCAGTGGCCCATAGCTCTCCGAGCAAAACTAACACCCTACAAGTGTCCGGCATGAAAACAAGTCAACATTCTTGGGCTCAGGTTGAGTTCTGGTCAGGCTTTAATATTAGGCCTGAGCAGACTTCCAGTGTAGTGCTGCTCTGTATTAACAGCTGAAGCTTTCCACCCCAGAGGCTGCTGCATTTCAATGGTTGGTGCCTTGTATAGGTAGTTTTAGTTACTGGACCAAATTCAGCCTTGGTATATATAAACGCCAGAGAGCACAGAACTGTAATGAAGATACAGTCATAAGGATCTCCCTTCTATACCACTAAGTCTGCAATCTGAGTTTAATAAAGATTTATATGAAATCACAACAGAAACAATGGCTTGTAAATATGAATATTTACATACTCAGGGCTAAGCTATAGCTTAATGAACTTTGGGCTGGTCCACACTAACCCCCCAGTTCGAACTAAGATACGCAACTTCAGCTACGTGAATAACGTAGCTGAAGTCGAAGTATCTTAGTTCGAACTACAAGGTACTTCCCGCGGGTCCACACGCGGCAGGCAGGCTCCCCCGTCGACTCCGCGTACTCCTCTCGCAGAGCAGGAGTACCAGCATTGACGGCAAGCACTTCCGGGATCGATTTATCGCGTCTAGACAAGACGCGATAAATCGATCCCAGAAGATCGATTGCTTACCGCCGAACCCGGAGGTAAGTATAGACGTACCCTTAGCCATGCTGGGGCGGGAGGAGAGGCGGTCCATGGCCAAAACAGCAGTAATTGGCGGCATTATGCCACTGCAGAGCCGAAACAGACATAGTACTTTGAGGGGATGGGATGCTCACCAGCAGCACTTACTACTACTGTAGAAGAGGTGTAGTATGTGTTTTCTGCTCAGCCCAATGGACACCTGTTGGTGACTCAGTACACCAGGGGTTACTAGGCAACAGTGTTCAGCTTATCCAGAAATGTTCTCTCTCTCTCTCTCTCTGATGCACATTATAAAGCACAGGCAGGCAAATCACAGTTGCCCACTGAGAAGGAAGGGATTCCCTCCATCTCTGTTTCCTGTCCATCGAGCACAACTGCTGTGTGTACAAGAAAGCCCAAGTGTCCCAGTGACACTAAAATAAGGACATTCCTTCTGCATGCATACAGGAGGGACACATATAGACAACGTCTTATCAAACAAGAGGTAAGGGCAGGACACTTACTCAATTTCTCTAGGATCTCTTCATCCGTCATCTTGGATTTTTTTCGTTGCCGGTCCGTGTTTCTGTACAAAGTGTTGGTGTTTGAGTTCTCAGGCTGAGGGGTCGTAGCCTCTTTAACTAGTGCTGGTGCAGCAACAGGTTCAATTACAGACCGAGTGTAGATCTGTAACAGAAAATTATTCTGAGGTCAGAAAGGTGGGTATGGAGATGGATCCCCATGAGATTTTATCTCACATATAAATCTTTATAGGGAATCTGCCAACTTATGTGTCATACTGGAAAAAAACAATAACAAATTATGTTCCTTTACTTATTATCACCAATGGCAACTTACATTAAGGTGTTTGTTTTCTTTGTGCATTTCTCAAAACAGGGACAATGAAAACTAATGAAGTCAGTTTTATCCTTATTTAGAGTCAGTTTCATTTTTAGGTTCTTGGTGCTGCAATTTTGTATTTCAAACCCTAGAGGGGAACATTTACTTGCTTATAGTCTGATTAAGCTCTGAAGGGTGACTGTAAAAATTACATTGTGAGGCTCTATGTCTCAGTGATTCAAATTCTCTGTTTACACGTACAGTCTGGGAACAGAGAGTCAAGTTGGGCTCTTTCTGTCCAGGCAAGACGTGCTGGGAGAGCAAGAAGACAGACACTTGGGGAAGAGAGGCTGTGCCAAGTTTGGTACCGGGGTGAAAGAACGAAACTTCAAAGAGAGAACAGACACTCAGGGAGGAGAGGCTAGGCCCAGATGAAACTGGGGTGAAGACGGTGGGTCTGAATTCTATTTTGAAATACTTTGTGCAGGGTTTAATAAGTTGGACCCCCAGCAGAGCAAATGTGGACATTTTAAGGGAAAACTGAGGCTGGCCTCTGCAAAGCCACGCTTGGCTAGTAGGGGGCACAACAGGGAAGGTGCATCTCTTGACAATCTGTAATAAAAAGATTTTTGGAACTCAGTTAAAACTGCTGCTGAAGATGCTTGAGGCAGAGGTGTATCCAGCTCATCCTCCAGAGCAGTGATGGGCAACCTGCGGCCCGTCAAGGTAATCCGGTTGCCCACCACTGCTCCAGAGCCTGTGATGGCCCTGTAGAACAAACAGGAGTAAATAGTAACAAAAAACTTATTTTAGGTCAGTTAAGTCAGAAGATAGGAGTGTGAATACACTGGGTGAATATCTCTCTCTTTTCTGACTATTACTGCACTTTTAATTAGCCAGGGGAATCACTAGAGTGATGAAAAGTATTCCATTCCCCCTCAACACAGGGTTAAGTGCATGCTTCTCCTCGGGACTTCAGGCCTTAGGAGAGCAAGATTAGGAACTGAGCTAACATCTCCTGCAGAGCAGTACCCAGCACTAGCTCTGTGCCTTTGGGATAGACCTTCTATAAATTATTTCTGTTGCACAAGGGCTAAATCCAGAAATCCTTACTCAAGCAAAACTCTCATGCATTTCAAGGGAGTTTCTGAAGAAAAAACCGAGGAAGGAATTTTGGATTTGTCCAAATCCTTTAGGATTTGATCATCGGTTCTTTCCACTCATTAATGTAAATAATCTTACTATTGTAATAGAGCAAATTAATGTAAATGCAAGACAGCTACTGCTATTCAGAAAGCTGTTTGCTTTTCTTTAAGAAGAAGAAAATCATCTAAAGAAAGGTAATGACATGTAGACATTATTATTTTGCTTCTGGAGCCATTTTGGTCTCATGTCACAAATAACAACAGCTCTGGAGAAGCTAGTCTATCAGACTGGTTCTTGGAATCCCTAAAAGTATGTACTGACCTCACAGATCTAAAGAAAATATTAGTCTGTCTAGTCCATGAGCTAGGAGTTGAAGTAAGGACATGAAGGAGTTTTGGTCTTGATGGGAGCAATTTCCACAAAAACTCAGTAGCAGCCATGATGCAAACATCACCAAAGCCAACGTTTGCTCAGCTGAATCATAATGATCAGGTAACATTCAGCAGAACTGGATATGGGGTGGTCTGTATTTTCATCCTCTAAAGAGTGCATTTAGACATGACAGATCCCACTGTTATAATAAAAGGCCTTATTATTTTCATGATGGGGACCACATCTTAATAGAGTCACTATCCTGTGGAATTCCCTCCTTCAATTTGTGATCTCGCAGATCACTTCTCCCATTCACAACTGTGACTCATCCCCATAGTAACTACAGCAATTGCATGCATAGAATAGCATCATTAGGAAAACATTTATATATTTTATCTGTCTTTTACTATGACAAATGCTTTGTCCTGTTAGAAGACAAGGAATCACACTGTCTATATCTGCTCTTCATTTCATCTCCCCATCACATCTGTTCAGTCTCTCTCTCTCTCAGCAAGGAAGCAAGGAGGAGAGCCAGCACTATCATAAGCCTTCTCTCCACTGACTATGGCTAAGTCCATGTTTATATATATGTATTTTAAGTAACGGAGTATTACATATACACAAACACAATATAAAAACTGAACTAAGAGTTTCAAAATACCTATTGGCATAATGGAAAAAGCTCAGGATTACATGAAAAGCCTCACAGCAGAATCTCCTGGCTTCTGTAGGTTCATGGGAATTAAAAGCTATAGTTAGGATTCTAACACTGAGTCTTCACCCAAAAGGAACGCTATACACTTTCCTATTATAACAGATATATCTCTCAGTTATACCATATGATGACAACAGTAACCAAAGCTGCTAGTGAGCTTACTGATTTTGTATGCTCAGGTCGTGGTGCAATAACAGGTGGAGGTTCATTGTCATCTTCTTCTTCTTCTTCATCTTCATCCTCTTCTTCTGAAACTGGGGGAGCTAAAGGGGGTTCTGATGCAGTTTTTGTGCTCTGTGGATAAAAGGCAGTAGCATAACTGATTGTTCACTTATTTTTTTAAAGACAGCATGGGAGGCTTGTTAATAATGTACAGCATTAATCTACTCAGACATAGCAGAGAATATTACATTTATATATAGTTGTAGAAACCTCAGTTATTAGTTGCATATGGTGCATTTTTTTTTATGATTACAAATATATGTCCTGTTTGGTTAATTCATTTTGGTGTTTTTCATCTGCCTCTTATTTATTCATGGCTAGTCTTGGTATGGTACTAGCATTTGGGCTAGTGAATTGTATCCTATGCTGCATTATTAGAGGAATTAAATTAAATAAAGGCAAATAAATCATTCATTTACATACTTAATGAAAGACTAATTTAACTGAGAACAATACTTGAACATATGCAGGAGTTAGAAAATCACCTCTAGTTCATGGTTTATTGCTTTGGTAACATGTTTGCAGAAATGGTAACAGTTAATTAAGCTAACAAGTCTACCGGTTAGATTAATTAATGCACTTCAAAGCTCAAAGGATCCTTCATTAAGTCTAACAGGAAATTCTGTATTATAGAGAAAAGCTATTCTTTTTTTATTATTTTACCCTGCATAATATTATTTTTTCCTGTTTAGATGCTTTTCACATTTATCTTCATCTAATGCGTAATGCTTAGTATTTCTGCTCTTTGCCAGGTTTCAGTGAATCAGTGTATAAAGTTAATGGGGCTGCAACTACCATAAGCCCAGCTACTATACCTAAAATGTGGACTAATTGCTAGAAGAAGAATAGACTGGGGGGGAAAAAAGTCCAATCAAACATTTATCAAATGCTGAAGGGTATTTTATAGGGGGGTGAAGAGAAGGAACACAGAGAATAACATGGTTATCAAAGCAGGATCTTAAGCTGACTGGGGACACTTGTTCTAAATAATCAGGTCTCTCACATAACCTGTGAGATGACCACTTCTCTTCAGTACAGTATCTGGTATCAATGTTAGAAGGGACAGAAATGATTGTATGGATCATCCAGTCTAAACCCCTATAGTTTGCAGAACAGTTCACTACATCATTCCTACCACTGCCTTAATTAATTGTCCTTAAATATATATACAGTGATACTGCATCTCCCTTGAGAATCTATTCCACTGCACACCTGATTTTACTGAAAATGGTGACCTGTAAAAGAAGTTACTAAAGTGTCAAAACTTTAGAATTATATGCTGCATAACCCAACTACCAGGTCAGAGGAGCATTCACCATATTCTATATGATATCATGCAACTTTGCCAGAGCTTGGAGCTGTCTCAGTGTAGAAGGGAAAGAGCATATATTATTCTGTGGCATATCACATGACTGTAAGGTTTCCTGTTTAATATTCATATTTTACACACACATTTTTGAAAAAAAAAATTATGCAATAAAATAATCTCACTTCTATGATGCCAGACCACAACAAACCATTTCCATACCCTAGAAGAGTTCCACGGTTGATGTGACAACACTAGAATTGTGAAGCTAAACTATATACAATACCCTGAATATTTAATACCAGACTTGTATTACTGGGTGAAATTCTGTTAGTAGGAGTTGAATGATTTCTTTGTACTGCGATAGAGCTCCCACCTTCCCTCTTATATAAGATTCCTGTTGAATCCCTTGAATAGGCTATTGTCTTGTAGGAGCTTGTATCTTGCTACTGGTTATATCCCATCTGATGAGATACAGTGATAGTTCCTAAGAAGGCCATAACCACTGGTAGGAACCACTTTGAAGGCCATACTGATTATATTCCTATGCGATTGCAATATTCTTCCAGAAATGTATTTTATTATGGATAATGGATCTAGCTTTAGTTGAAAACCTTAACTGTGAAATTGAGTCACTGAATTTAAAATAAAGGCCAAATCCCTAATTAATTATTGATATTTAATGCAATAATGTTAATACTGATAAATTCAGTCAATATTAATATGGACATCATAAATATATCTCTGGGATTTCCACAGTAATTCAGCATTAATTATAATGGACCAATGTTTAAAACATTCTTACAAATTCTTTCAGTGAGTTTTGAATAATTTCTAACCTTATTTATGTTCAGTCATATATCTAATTAAATCACAGAAGTACAAAAGCAAAAAAATGTAGTAGAGATTTTATTTTAAGATGGAAAAACTACACAGAGAGCCTGGAATAACACACTGTACTAAAGAATATAAATCATAAAGGGCTGGGAATAGTAAGCAATTCCTCGTCAACAAACCCAGACGTTAATCTGTCTGTCAGGTATTATACAGAAAATTAAAAATAGCCAATGGAATCTAAATACCACTGCTGCAAAGATGTTGTGGCTGACTTCTCTCAGCAGAGGAGACTGGTATTCCAGAAAATTCAGAGTTTATGGCTTACTCCACCACACTTACACAAACACCATAAATGAAATCGCTGTTATTTTTTTACACTCACCGAAGGATGGGCTGCTATGTATCCGTGGGCGCTCTTATCTGAAAGGTGCAAAGGAAGATAAGCTAGATACTTTTCATAACAAAGCTTGTTCTGGGGAATCCAGCAGAACAAGTTCATCCAAAACTCGTCAGACTTCATTCAGAACACCCCTTTGGCAAAACCAGTTACTTTATAAAGATGACAGCAAGATGGTGGAATGATCTGGGCTATTTCTTTACTACAATGTCTACATTTTACTTTAGTGTCTGTTTTCCATGTTTAACTCTACCCTTTACTATCCCAAACGAGAGGGGAAGTGGTCCAGCACATGTCCTTCACCAATAGGCAGGGCCGGCCCCAAGCAGCGAAATGGGAAAAGAAAAAAAAAAAAAAAGCCGCGATCGGCGGTACGTCGGCGGCAGCTCAATCATGCTGCTCCATTCTTGGGCGGCAATTCGGTGGCTGGTCCTTCGATCCCTCTCTTCCTATTCGGCGGCACTTCGGCGGAAGCTCAAAGAGGAAGAGAGGGACTGAGGGACCCGCCGCTGACCCGGACGTTTCGCCCCTTTCCACTGACCGCTCCAAGCACCTGCTTCCTTCGCTGGTGCCTGGAGGGAAGGCAGTTTGAAGTCAGGCTTACGATAAAGTCACTTGGATAAAAAGATTGCAAATACATGCATTTTTCTTTCTAGTGGGGTCAAAACCTTCCTATAGAAAAGGTTCAGTATAACCCCCCTCATATTGTGATTGTTCCATTATTATGAAGCCACAATAGCAACTCCATAAGCACGTAAGTCAGTTTTCCTTCTAAAGCGGAAAACTCATCCCTCTAGCTTTTGCGAACACACACACATGCACAAAACTCCTACAAGCCTGAAATGTTGCATGTTTGATATCTTATCCCAGCGTTAATTGTTATTTTAGTGGGGGTAAGTTTAAGGTTACTCAGGCAATCAATTTTTGAATTACGGGTCTCAGTTGAGCCACCAGGTTCAAGGAAGTCACTGTCTCCACTGGCACTGATGGCGGCATTTTTATTAGCTCTATCAGATGAACAACTTCAGGTCAAGAAAGTTACAGATGCTGCTCACATGCTGCTGGGTTTGAACGCCACGTTAGCAGAAATAATAGCTATGTCTTTACAAACTTAACTGTATCACAACATTTTCGTGTAGGAATCAGCTCAATAATTAGGAGAGCCATGATACAGAAAAGAACACATCATTACTAAAGCCACACACACTCTACCCAGTCTGAAGCCTCAGCTTCCTTGGTAGACGTGATTTATTACCAGGCAACAGGGTTTCTTTAGCTAACAAGGAAAACAAAAACAAAAAACAGAACACGCTGAAAAAAATATAAACTAAAATTCAGAATTATTCTCCTTGAAAACATTTTCTCAATGCTGCTTAGTGACCTTGCAGAATGTACAGAAAACCTAGGAAAAGTGATAGCAAGGTCACAATTGGAGGCTTCCGAATCATGGCACCTCGATTGCAATCAAATCCCCAGAATGAAGATGCTGTAGCCTCTAGAAGAATCTCTTTCTCTTTGATCCTTCATCCAGATTCCCAGGAAGACTCCATGACAACAGAAATGTTGTATACATTTCATATATTTATGTATAGCACCCACCTCCTGTGCAGATCACTAGTTATTTGTGGCTTCAGAATGAAAGAGCCAGTGACTGTTTCACTCAATCCTCTTATTTAACTTTGAAAACAAAGTAACAAAAACAACCAGATTCTCCAATTACTCTTCCGCATTTGCAACTGCATCTTTGGGAGGAAGCAGCATTCAACTCCAGGATATTAGATCTTTCCTTGTCATTGGAATGTCTTTCTGGTCACTTCTTTGCACTTCGAAGACACTTGTTTTACTTTTGAAGCAGTTTGGCTTTCGGTTTCTTGCACAGCATGGCTTCAACTTACCTCCTGAAGTAAAGCTCATGTATTTCTGGTTGTTAACTGTCTCTTTGGAATCGTAGAATTTGAGAACATCTAAAACAGCTTGTGGATTCTTCTTTTGCTCTAGTTTTGTTATATTGGAGGTCTGTAACAGCCTGGCCCACTGCTCTGGAATTCCCTGTGGATGCCAAATAGAAAGAATGCTGATTTAGGAAATTCAGCGGCCCTAGCCAGCATAGTTCCTTACCAAGAATCCCATGCTACCTGTAAGATTACTTTCAGAAACTTTAATTGATGCCTTACATTTAAAATAAGAAACTGACACAGTAGATGTAATCATTCTCTTCTCTATCAAAATACAGAGCTAAAACCAGGATCCAACTTTTAGAAAAGAAAAGAAAGTTATGACTGACAGGAAAAAACGTGCATGAAACTCATCTTTAAATCAACTCTGCTCTTCCATGGAATAATGATTTAAGGCTTAGCTTGTTTTCCTGGTGATTAAGTGCAGACATAACAAGACTACTCTATATTTGTGGACAACAAGTGTATTTTAGGAGCTTTACACTGGATTTTCAATGCTTAATCATGGAAATATATAGTTGCTGTTGTAATTAAAAGAAAAACCCCCTCCCTGATACTGTCAAATAAATGTATGTCTAGATCAGGGGAATATTGCTTCTAGTTTGGAGAAGGGGGCAACAATTTGGATTGAATTGTAAAAATTGTAACACTGAGTTGTAACATGGCTGCTGCTGCTAAAGAAGTCTCTTTTCAGCGCCCTTAGGTCTTTATGCTCGTTATTTAACAATTTATAGAAAGTAGGAACTCAGAAAACAGGCTGGAAGTGCCAAAGCCTAGCATGAGTTTTCAATCATCTTAAGAGGTAGGGTGACATTTGGAAATGGATCCAATCTCGGAAAGCTGCAAATTTGCATTGGAATATTATTGTTGACAAATTGCTTTAAACATCCAGTATAATTTCCTAAGTTTCAGAGCCTACAATTTTCCCCTTTTACCACACAGCCAACATCTAGCAGCGAATTAGAGGAGCTACCGAATAAAGACTATACCTGAGGTGCATCTAAGCGTAACCTTGGTGCCACCCCGGTCTAGATATACATTTTACATGGCTTCTTCCTACGAAGTTCTCTGCAAATCAATGTGTGACATGGGCCTCCGGAGTTTGGGATTAATGACAAAAATGTGGGATAAGCCAAGCAACAAATCTACTGCACACACATGAACCTGCTGCTGCAGTGCTATGACATCTCAAAGAAGCACTTTGATGCAAGCTTCTTTTGGGCCTGTGACGCACCTCTGGGAGCTTCCCTGTGCACATCTGTGAGCCATAGAGATCTGGCTGTAATGGACGTAAATAAAGAAAGAAAAGAAAGTTAAAACAGAATGTGGGACAACTTAGAAGGTGGTAAGGAGGTGAAACCAATGGGCCGAAATGGGGAAAATCCCATCTAAAGTGGGAAAATTATGAGGTAAGTACCAAATAGATTAGGTGCTGGACAGGCTACAGGAAGACAGACTTAGGAAAAACAGAAAAATCACAATTGTTCCAAAGTTTGGAAGCATCATCCCCCTTTTTACCATTTTTTTCCCTCCCTTACAAAAATATATTACTGAGGATTCACGGCAAGTGACTGGAAAAATTACTCAGTGTTTTTTTGTTTTTTAAAACCAGTTTAGCAATTTTTAACAGCTGTATGCAACTTTTTCCATTGCTTTTCCAGTCCTGAGATCATAACTGGCCAGTGCACAAGTGAACAAAGTGCAACTGAGAAAGTAGTTGTCGAATTCAGATTTCATATTAGAAGGTCAAGTGTTGCTATAATACAAGTAATGTACGTGTCAGAGTGAAAAACCTAGGAAACTTTGGACAGACATTTGTTTAGGTCACTAATGTGCAAATTCTTTGGATCTAAAGCCATGACTTCCTCCAACTGGCTAAAACCTTAATCAAGAATCTTTAAAAATTTGGTGTGTGGCCCGCTTTTATTCCAGATTGAGGGTCAGGAAACTATTTCACTAAAAGGCATGCCTTACAAAATTCACTTTAAAAACAAAACAAAACCAAAAAGCTACAAATCCGGAGCCTTCCTCCTCTCAAAATAAATGCAATAGCTTCTTCAAAATAAATAAATATAAAGCTAAAGAAGCATGCTTCCACCCAACAGTTTCCAGCCAATTTCATTTGGTGCTTTGTGCCCTAATTCCTAGCAATCATGGTTGCTCCAAGCACAGTGAAATGGAGTTTTAACATGCATACATGAGTAACAACATAGCTTGATGCTAAAACCTTATAGCCAAAACTCAGGATCCCATGCAGGTGTTCCTGATTCCAATTCTAGATGCAACGAATAGCAGCCAGGTAATACATCCAGGGGGGTGATTAACACTGGGTGTTAGAAATTTTTCTATGCATTGCGCGTAACCAATAAAGCAGACATGGCTGGCATGACAACCACTGTAATCGCTTGAAATTTAAAATATTTTCACATTCCCATGGCACTTCCAAACTTTTGAGAGACACAGACAATGCGATCACTAAACAGTGGGGATTTTTTTAAAAAAGTTGTGTAGCTAATGGTAGTCCCTTCCGCAAAATTTACTTACCATGTGACTATTTGGCTGACACAAGACTTGTGTCCGGGTTGGGAAAAATCAGGGAAGCCAAATGTAACACAATACTTATATCTGGTGACTGGAATTAGCTCATGGCTATGGGGCAAACTGTGGTCCTTAATGGAGCAATATTTCCTTTGACTTGAATGGGCTTTTTGCTATATTAAGTACTGCAGGAGTAGGCCTATACCAACAAGCCTCATGACTAGCAGGCTTTTTTGGAGGGGTGGGATAAGTATATTCTGATGGCGCAGCCATCTCTTTATGGCAGCAGCCCACTGAATTAACTTCTGCAGTCTCATGCTTCAGGAGCAAGTGTGTATCGTTGTAGAAATAACTATCCAACAAAGTGTGGCTGGACAACAGGAAGCTAGTGCCCATAATTTAAAAGAGGAAAAAAGTAATTGAAAATAAATCATTGCTATAAAAGTGGGTCTGTGCACTTTTAGTCCAGAACAGGTGTTGCTTTCTATAAGAGGCCAGGGCCTGTGCTAACGGACTGCCGATGGCATTAGATGTGACAATAAGAAGTCTGATGCTGCAGACCTACTGTTTTGACACAATGGATGCTGGCAGCAATATTAAAACTGATCCAAATGCTGATCTCTGAAGTGCAGGTAGAGGGTGCCTCAAACCCGAAAACTTATTTTTGTTGTTGTTCCACTCCTTTTTGTTCCAGCTGACAGGGAAGTGAAAATGACTTGGATCATTGTCTACTGGTGCACCAGGGAAGATAATTGTGATCCATTTCACTTTTCTTCCAGCCAGAACACAGAAGAGAATGAGCACAGGGAATGAGACAAAGAGAGAAGACCGAGGAGTACAGAATAAAGAAAAAGGAAAGAAATAACAGAACAGTAACTGGGAGAACATTGAAAAATGGGATCAGAGAAAAGAAGAGAGAACACAAAAGAAAAGGAAGGAATAGGCTAGAAAAGGTGAAAGAGAAAGAGATGGAAAATGTAAACACAAAAGGAGGAAAATAAAAAACATGACAGAATGTAATGTGGAACTGAGAAATGGCAGCAAAGATTAAAGTTAGCTGTGCAGTAGTTACAGAGAGAGACAGAATGGGAGCGAGAAACAATAAAATGTAGAGCGAATACCAGAAAAGTGTTCTGAAATTGATATATTTGTTGCAATTTTCTAAAGGCAGAAGACCAAATCTGGAGGTCTAAACTCAATCTCTACTCAGGCCTTACTTAGGGAAAATTCCCAGTGAAGTTAATCAGTTTTGCCTGAATAAGAACCTCAGGATCTGGCCCAGAATATTTTTTTTAAAGTACACATTTAGAAGTCACGTCTATTCTTTAAAATCCAATATAAATATTCTGAGTGTACCATTTTCAAATGACTAAAAGCTCTTAAATTCTAGTTCTCTTATAAAGAGGTGTTGCCACCACACAGCTTTCATTTTATATGTATTAATTGATTTTATTTATTTATTTAGGAAGCAGGAAAGTTCTAGTTTTCTGAAACATGTTAAAGAAACAGAAGAAGCAATCAAAACAAAAATCACAGAAGAATTGCATTTGGTGCCCAGATTTTGGAAGCTAGTGGCACATTGGCCAGCAAGCCACAAAATGATTTGTCCCATCCTGCCTGTTTTACTTACACAGCCAATCAATACTAGCACTTCCTACCATTCAACATGTTTTTACAGCATAGTCCGATCCATCAGCATACTGGGTACTGAAGGTATGGGAAGTTACTAGTACTGCTAGGCTGGGAAAAAGTAAGAGTAAACTGACTATCATGTTAGGCTTACTAATTAATTAATTATTCCAACACCTAACTAGTGACCCAATCCAAAGCCCAATCAAGCCTCCCATTGGCTTCAGTGGGCTTTGGATCAGACTCATTTTCCCCATTACTTGAGCTGAAACACATTGCATTAACTCTTCCCACTAATCTTACGTGGCAAAGTTGACTGTTACATTACTACCCTACTCAAGCTAAAAGCATGCCTGATTACCTAGTCTTTGGACAGGGAATACCTCGGAGGTTGTTTACTGAAACAAAATGATCAGCCTTCCACAATGCCTGTTCTGCAGCTTTCTGCAGATGTTTATAGGCCAGTTGGACTATGCCCCTTAGGGCCAGCTGTCCAGATGTGTGTGCGTGTGCACACTTTCCTTATGTCTTTCCAAAGAGAGTGAACTCTAGCCCCAAAACAGCTTATAAGACTTATCCAGGCAGGCACCTGGGTTCTTCCTAGTTTTCATTTTCCACAGGTACTCTGCTGTTAATCCGAGGGAAGGCGGGGGGAGGAGAGGAGAGAGGGGAAGCAGCCGGAATCAGAGGTAAAGTATTGAAAATATCCAAAACCAACAAGTCTGTTTTTTCTCAGCCTGACTGCTGTCATCACCTGAAGTTTCTGGCTGCAGAAAACTATTTCACTGACAAGGAACTGGGAGACTTAATGAAGGTGCAATATGGAGGTTACTTACAGTGAATTCCCCGGTGACTGCATCAAACCCCACATGAATCGTATGTTCAAAATCTGAAGGAAGAGAGATCTCAGGACGCTCTTTCTCTTTCTTCTTATTGGCTAGAGGCAAAAATGTTAACATGCACTTATTTTCTGCATTTTTTTCATTCACAAGTTTTTACAATCAGGTTCAGTCAAAGTAACCATTTTAAACTGGGAAACAATTCAAAAGGAATCTTATCTGCTACATAGACCCAGGTTAATGAAGTGCCAACCTAATGTATACCCCTTTTTCGAGGTGGCCCATGAGATTGTATTTGATTTTCTTCACATGACCAAATCCAGATTACAGCTACTGAGAGTTAAGCAAGGAATCCACTTTAAACAATTGTAAAAGCCTTCTTAGACATCTATAAAAAGGAATCAGGTAGGTAAGTTATTTCCACCATCATTTCTCTTTTTAATCAAGCCTTCATATCCAGCGGCTAATACTTGATTTATTTTTTCAAAACTCTGAAGTTTGTCCTAACAGATTTTGGTGCTTCTTGTGGAAGGAGCTTGCTTTGGGGGGGGGGGGGGAATCAATAAAAGTTGCATTTGCATTTCCTCTCCCTCCTGTTATAGCCCTTTGGTAAAGTATCATATCTTATGGCTGTCCATTCCCAGCACTCTGCTCCACTGAAGAACTGAACGGCAGCACCACATCCACGACCAGTTTTACTGAGTATTCAACTGACAGTAAACAAAATTTTGGCCCCTGGCTGGTGACCAAATCAAAGTACTTGAGGAGCACTCACCTTTTGTGCCTGGCACAGTTTTTGAGATACTATGAATGACAACCCTTTATAAGACAAAAGGTACCTCCACTAACACATCCAATTAGGAGTTACGGTGAAATAACTGTATTCATGCAGCAAATTTGGTTTAGGTTACAAAAACATCTGGGGAAACCTATCCAAATCTAGGCAGAACCCTAGTTAAAATATCAAATATAAGCTTATGAATATACCTAATTGTAGAACATATTTACATGAACTCCCAAATACATCTCTAAAGACTACATATAATTCATACACTATGTTCAAACAGCAGGAGTTCAGTGACAATACAAGCTGAAGTATTTGGTTCCTTTGGAGAATCATCATACTTTACAAACAGAAACCATACAGGTAGATAGTATAGGACAGGGGTCGGCAACCTTTCAGAAGTGGTGTGCCGAGGCTTCATTTATTCACGCTAATTTAAGGTTTTGCGTGCCAGTAATACAGTTTAACGTTTTTAGAAGGTCTCTTTCTATAAGTCTATAATATATAACTAAACTATTGTTGTATGTAAAGTAAATAAGGATTTTAAAATGTTTAAGAAGCTTCATTTAAAATTAAATTAAAATGCAGAGCCCCCTGGACAGGGTGGCCAGGACCCTGGCAGTGTGAGTGCCACTGAAAATCAGCTCGTGTGCCACCTTCGGCACGCGTGCCATAGGTTGCCTACCCCTGGTATAGGAAATAGCTACACCTCTACCTCGATATAACGCTGTCCTCGGGAGTCAAAAAATCTTACCGCATTATAGGTGAAATCGCGTTATATTGAACTTGCTTTGATCCACCGGAGTGCGCAGCCCCGTTTCCCCCCCCCCCCCCGAGCACTGCTTTACCGTGTTATATCCGAATTCGTGTTATATCGGGTCGCGTTATATCGAGGTAGCAGTGTATTTGCAGGTTCTTCTTTTATCCTAATGCGGTGCGCATCCCTGTGGAACAGCTTTGCCACTTCAGTTGAAATAGAATGTGCTACAAAGGGGACTAGAATGTATTCGAATTTCTATCTGCAATGTGTTTTAGTGACTAATCCCAATTTGAGAAAGAAGATGTTAATAAAATGTTTATGTAGAATGCACACTGCATCATCTCTAGTGCTTTAAATTGAAAATTTCTGCAATATACCCTTGAAGCCAGCTATTCCTTTCCTCCCTTCCCATCAGTTTAATACAAATATTTAGGGAACTGATTTACAAATTCTCTTCACGTTCCTAGACTGACTGGCTCTGCAAATCTGATATGACGCCACACTAACCGTCACAAGGTCTCCAGAGATATATGGGGCCATGATTTGGGTCTTTAGGTGCTGCTGTAATACAAGTTAATAAATAACATGGCAGCTGCAGGCTAAAGGAAGATCTGATATAAAGCACTGGTTTTGGGGGGGAAGGGAGAACTTTCACCAAAGGTGTGGGAGTCATGCTGTGAATCTGCATGTTTGGTCCGCAACATGCATGGCAGTTTAGAAAGAGAGCACGAAGTGATTGTGCCTTCCCTTCATTTGTCCTTCACACTCCCTGGGTGCATTATTAAGGATAGCCAAGTTGTATAGAAAATGTTATATGGCAGCAATTTTGTTGAGAGACTTATTTCCACAAGCAAGTTTCCTGTTCTACTGAGAGAGAGCGGTGGGGAACTGAGTGAATGAAGTCTTTGTTCTATAAATATTCACATTTTGCACTTTTACTTGCATCCGAGCCAAGTCAGACTTCTACCTTAAACACTAAAAGCTAGTGGCTTTTTATTTTGCCTTTCCTGATGAGTGACAGCGTTGGGTCTGCCAATTGATGGCATTAGTGAAGTCCCTCATCTGGTGCCTGAGCTTACTGTGTGTGTATGCATCCTGCACAATACCATAGTCAAGACACAAACCAGGTCCCTCTTGGTTCGCAGGCAAACCAATATGAGCTGTGCTAATCTCATTTCAGAAGGAAGTGTTTCTTTCCCTGTTTGACCTTAATGCCACTTTACACATCCAGTTAGTTGGCAGAGAAAAGTCAACTTTCCCCAAAGTTAGCGCACACTGCCCTTTGTACTGAAAGCATAGGATATTCTGAATTCTTTATTCCCATGTCCATAGTGTTGCATTTATCCCAATTAAATAATTACCTGCTGCATTTCTGCCCAAGATCCTAACCTCTACACAATGTTAACTGATAATTTATTTTCCTTCAGCACTTGGAAGAGACAACGGTAATATATTACGTCAGAATGCAAGGGGTTTTCCTTTCATCTATAACGAGTTGTTACTTTAATTTTCAGTAATAAGAGGTCATATCCTTTCAGTGTATGTAACCTTTTATTGTATATAACAAAATTGGCTTTTCCTAGCTTGCCACTTGCAAGTGATTGCACCAAAAATTGGATTTAAAGGGTCATCAAGTTCAGTTTAAAGGAACAGTCAAATCTGTAAGTGAAATTAGGTGCTATATAGTATGTTCTATCAAAAAATGGAACTTGTTATCCTTCACAGGATGCTCATTCCTGGTGACAAGCATTATAGATCACTTCAGGAGACTTGGCATGCATGCATGGCATACCTCTGCTTAAAGACTGCATTCAAAACACTGATAACATGTAAATTAAATAAGGAATTAGATGTCTATATTTAACCCCACTGTCTAAACATTTTGACACTTTTCTATGCCCTGCAACCCAAATCACATACACTCTATGTGAAGTGGTGAAATATAATGTGATGGACTGACTCCTCTGCAAGAATATCTGTAATTCTTGCTTGCTTATGTTACAAATGATCTCTGATAAATTGGCCAATATAAACACAGCTGTCAAAGTTTGGGAAATGTGAAATCACCCACCACATCTGCAACAATTATTACAGATCAAAAGATGACAAGGAAATCGACAGTGTTCTGTCTGGTTTCTCCCAGTCACACTATTATTATGCTAAAAAAGCATCTCTTTGGCAGTAAACTGTGACTCAGCTAAGTGGTGACTTTTTCTTTTCTCTTGTAAGGGAAAGAACAGCTTGCCCTCTTTTCACCTGCTCATTTCATTGTTTAATTCCCTTCTATCCCGATTTCATTCTGTTCTTTTCTCTGGGTCCTTTCTTTTCTCCACCAACTTATTGCCTTATTCTAATCATTCTTCCTTCTCTCTTCTTTTCTATCCCAGCATCCCCATTCTTTTATTTCTCCTCCTTTCCCCCTTATCCCGTCAGGTTTGTTCTTCCTCCATTTTCTCATTTTTTATGTATCTGAGGAAACTTAGCTACCAAAGGCCAGATTCTGCTCTCAGCTACACCAGTCTAAATCTTCATTGGATTTAATATTGTTAATACTACTATCATTTACACCAATATAGCTGAAAAGAGGATCATATAGATACATTTCCTTTGTGATAATTTAGGTTTAATTTCCTGTAATTTCCTTACTGGGCCACCACTTCCCGCTATGCGGTAGTAGTTATTTTTGCAGAGCAGCAAATCCAGGTGTTTCGATGAGAATGGAAAAGAAGGCTCTATCTACCGGACTGCAAAAACCCCAACAACAATCAAAAAAATCCCATCCCACAACCCAGGCAATTTCCTTGAATGGCTCTGCTCCCAATTTTCCTGAAGGAACAGAGCCCAGCTGGGAGGAGACGCTCAGCCTCTGAATCCCCCGAAGCTACTGACTACTATCATTATTACTTAAGAGGAAGGAAGGTGGTTAGAGCACCAGCCTGAGACTTACAAGACCTGGTTTGAATTGCCTGCTCTGCCACAGGACTTTCTGTGCGACCTTGGGCAAGTTACTTAGTCTCTCTGTGCCTCAGTTCCTCATCTGTAAAATGGCAATAGTACTTCCCTACCTCACCGAGGAATTGAGGAAACACACATGACAGACAGAGGAACTTAGATACTGTAGTGATCATGAGCATATAATTACCTAACACAAATTATTTGTATTGTGGTAACACCCAGGGGCTCTAGTCATGGATCAGGCCCCCTTGGACTAGGCACAGTACAAAGAGTTTAGGAACTAACTGTAAAATGAGAGATAACAGGTGGATACAACGATCAGACAGGGGGAGCACAAGGAAACAATGAGACAGTATTGGTCAGCATGATAAGTAGCAGTCACAGCACACCAGCTGCCTACCCATTACAAAGAAAGCAGGTTGACAGAACATTTCAAGTAGTCTAGCACTTCTCAGGCCTGGTGAATGAACAAAGAATACAAATGTCTAGTCTGTTTAAGGAGGAAATATCCTATGATTCTCTTTCTCTCTCATTCTGTTTAAAAGGGCTGATAGCAGGATATTATAAATAAATATGTGATGCTGCAATCAGTTGCACTGGATCAAAATGGACATGTTAAAGTAACGTTGTGTTTTTGTAACAAAGACTTTCAGATTGTGTCACTGTGTAAGTCTGTGAAGAATGCACAAGCCAACTGATACCCTGACATACAAGCCAGCCAGGAGATGAATCCACTTCAAGGGATTTGGCACATCCTGAGCATCAAAGCTAAATATTCTTACTATTTCACACAACAAAATTAAAATACAAAATCCTAGTCACTTCACTCCTAGTCACACCTGTAGTGATGAAATCTAAATGACTGCTAAATTGATTCTGATCTTCTATAGAAGAAAATTAACTACTTTTTTGGCTGTTGCAGATTATTTTGGGCAAGGATTCCTTCTGGATCTCCCCTTTTCTGCATCTGTTTCACACACTACCTCATGCAGAGGAAGTTTTCCCTCAGAAGACAGTCAACACCACTCTGATGCCAGCCAGAAGGGGAAGTGACCCAAGTCATTCTGTCACCCCAGGAGCTATGGTGGTTTTCAATCAAGGGAGTCAAGTCAAAATGTCACCTCTACTTTTTAGTGCTGTGTTAGAGCCAGAAGAGAATGTGGTTTAAATAATCGGGCCTGAGCCAGAGGTCCAAAGTCCTAAGTGGGATACACTCAGGGGCCAATAGGCCATCCTCTCCAAGGACACAGAAAGCAGCAGCAGGGTAAAGGGCAACTTGTAAATAGCAGGAGGGAGAACACTTCTCTTGCTGCGGGTGGTCCTCCTGGAGTATTGTCTTTCCTTCCAAGATCTCCTTTCCCCTGTTCCTCCCCTTCACCTCCCAGGCCTGCTGCTTTCGATTCCACCTGTATGGCCACTCTACAGTGGCTACATCCTCCGCTTCCATTCGGCTGGGGCTTCCCCCACCCTGGGCTGGGGCCCCTTACATCACCGGCAGCAAGCTGCTTCCCATGCACTGCGCTGCACTCTGAGCCCCTAGGCAGCAGTGGTTGGGAAGAGAGTGCTGCGCACTGGTGGGAAAATGCCTGCATGGGGCATCTCCGGCTGTCTAGGCAATAGGGGTTGGGGCAGGGAGGTGCCACGGTCCGCAGACCCTAGGACCGCACAGCAGTGACTCAGCCCCTATGGCCATAGCTCAGACACCCCCAACCATCCCCACCCAGTGACTCAACCCTGCCCCAATGCACATACAACCCTAACACCACCAGCTGCCCCACTACCCTCGTCCCACAGCACATACACCCAGACACTTCCCATTACACCCTGCCCCATTGCACATACACCCCTAGCATCTCCAGTCAGCCCCCACTCACCTCTGAATTCCCCAACACCTCCAAATAACCCCACCCCAGAAATTCACCCCAATACATTCATAACATATATGCCCCCATTAACGCCTAACGTCCCCACTGAACCCTAGTCCAGTAACTTACTCTTAATACACCCTCAGACCCACCTCGTGCTGACACGTTACAAACACCCCCCTTAATATACAATCAATGTATCACGGTTTAAGAACTGTATGCACAACATCCTCCTCTCCCCCATACATTCACTCATCCAGTCCCAACTCTGGTTATTCATAAGGCAAAGTGCTGCAGTAGTCACAGCTCCACCTTATCTGCTCCCCAACCCTGTGTTGCCCAAGGCATCTCTTACCCATCCTGTGCATGCTGCAGCAAGCCACTGAAATGCAGCTATTAGAGACTTTTCTCAAACTTCATTAAAATGGGGTACTAATAGCCTCTCCAAACAGGGACAAGTGGCTGTGATCATGTTACAAAGCAGGAGCTTCCATTCCCGTTGCATGGTGCAGATCCTGCAGGTCAGAAAATCAATTGTGGCAACAACTTGGAACTGGGAGGAGCTCCACTGCTCTCACAGTAATGTCACAAAAAACCTTCCGACACAAGGGGAGATTTGCATCATTTCCTGTCTTGGTTCTGATATAAGACTCACTTCTACCTTTACATCTGCAAATGCATTTCAACTAATGCAACACAGCCTACTGGCTTAACTGTAACTGCATTTAAAATACCCACCACCTTACCTTCCTTCACTCTGCAAATGCATTGAAAAATACAAGACACAGTTCTCTCCAGAAATTCAAATAACACAACATACATTCCTGGTTTACGCATTTAAAAAATCCAAGACACACTTCTACCTAATGAAGGTGTTGTTGTTTTTGTTTTAAAATTACACACCCCCTTCCTCACTCTACAAGTGCAAATAAAAGCAAGACCCCCTCTCTCCATTCTTTAAATGCAAATACGTTTTTTTAGAAATTCAAAACACATGCCTCCCTTAATTTTGCAAATGAAATTTGAACCTTATTCCCTTGGTTTCACTCTGCAAATGCAAGACAAAACCCAGTCTAAACCGCAACTGCATTTTAAAAAAGCAAGACCACTTGTGTGTTTTACTGTTCTGGTCAGCTACCCAAAGATAATTAATTAAACATCACCTCCTCCTCTTTGAAAATATGGCATTAGAATTAAAGTAACATAACGCTTTGGGGAAGTTTTTAATTAGCATGTCCCACAGATGAAACAGAAAGAAAGCACAGGCAGAAAGTAAACACAGCAACCAACACACTACAGGAAGAGAGAAAAGTAGCCCCTTTGCACTGCTGATACTTTACTTTTATCCCCTCCTCCTGGGAAGATGGAGCGCAGCCTGGCCTTCTTGTTCTTCTCTTCTGGGGCCATGGGGAGCGGTTTGGAGCTGTGGTTCAACGCTGAAGAATCACGATTGTTGCTGTTCATTCTCAACGGAGGGGCTGGAGGTTTCTCTTCAATATCCAGACTATCGGACATCTTCAGCAGCCCTCACAGCCTCCTGTAAAAAGCAGTACAGAAAGCTACAGATCACCAAGCTTGGGATGCTGGGAGGGGAAGAAGGAACCAAGGAGGGGCATGTGGTAGAAGTTTGTTTTAGCCTTTCAAATCGGGTACTCTTGGCGCTATAAATAAATACTACTGCTAATCATAACAGTGGTAAAATAAATGTTAAAGCGTTTTAATCCCAGTTAAAGCCTTTTAAAATTATATTTAAAACTCATTTTCGTCCTACTTACAAACAGGGTTTTCATCTCAAACCAGCACAGACCTACCAGAGCAAAAATTAGAGATATTCATTGAAAATATCTAACATTTACAACTTCTGCAATGCAGAAAATTGCTTGGCAAGGGGGTAACGGGTCACAAATATTGATTTCCTCCCTGCTTCATGCTTACTGAGAGTACCCCAGGGAGTGTGGGGGCTTCACTGGAAGGGGGGCATTTTTTCAAGGGAAACTATTCTAAAGCAATAATTTAAAGCGTTTTACACATAAAAACAAACCATATGTTTGCCTCAAAATCAAGATTAAAAAATCAGAAAAATCACCACCACATATTGGAAACCATATTATAATCATCTTTTGGAAGCTTCAAACTAAAATCAGCTCTGAGTCCCACCCCACCCCTAATGCTCTGCATTACCATACAGGTTTGTCATTGTAGGGTTGCTTATGATGCTTGGCTGACTGTACCATTTTGTTATTGTAGGGTTGTTAATGATCATTGCTTTGTGCACTGGTTTGTCACTCATAAGTGCTGGGCTATGTATACTGGTACTGTACATTACTTTAGTCACAGGGCTTTTTTGCTTCATAATTGTAGTAAGAATTACCTAGAAATAATTATACAAGTTTTGCAAATAGATATAAGGGGGGGGGGAAGCAAATCAAATTTTCTGTTTCACAACCTCTCTCCTATATCTGTAATATAAGTACCGGTCTGTCGCATCTTACGCGCATTTAACATGCGCGATTTCAGCTTTATGCGGTCGGCAAAAACAAAAACAAAAAAAAGAGAAAAATAACAATTTTAATACTGTACCTGTAGTGCGGGCGATTCCGCCCGCCATTCAACTCAATATAATTTTGACTATACGTGGTTTTCGCTTTACGCGCTAACCGCGGAACGGAACCCCCGCGTGAGATGAGACTCGCCTGTACAAAGTATGATGCTATCAAACTGGGGTAAGAAGCAAGCAGTAATTTGGTCAAATAAAATCTTAATACATAAGACCTGAAAATAATATCTGATTCAGAAAGGATCGTTCATCAATGTTAGATATATTAAACTTTTTTAAAAGGGTCCAATTCTATGAACACCCTGCCCTCAGAAACCCTCCAGTCAGAAAGGGCTTATATAACCCACTGGTGAGTGTGTGTTACTTACAGGTCCCCATCTGTGCTGATCCGCAGATGAGATGAGTTGTTACAGCCCCCAGCTAGGCAACCAAGGCTCTTTAGCTTAAGCTGAAGCAGCTTGTAGTTTTAGCTCTGGAGGCTCCCAGCGTGTGTGTCGGCTAAAGATGGCAGCCATCACAATTGCAAGGTCCCACCCTGAGGCCCTATAAACGTAAATCTTATGCTCAAGGTTTGGCCAAGTGAAAGTTATTGTTTGCAGGGTTGGGGATAACGTCTCTAAGAGTAACTGCGTTAACACTGACAGAGCTAAAATTCTGTCAAGACTTTCTCCTATAGTACAACCGTTTTTTATGCGTTAATAAAATTCCCATTGGCTTCAGTGAGAGAGTTACATGCATGTATACACTAAAGGATTGGTTCCAAAATTAGAGAAGTTCACCCCAGTATACATTTGTTATAAAAACTTGGAAAAAATATAATTTTTGTTGTTTTTAAAGTACTGCACACAAATTGATTGTTTCATGATTTTTGGTCTTTATTACTGTATTTATTTTACCTGAATTTAGCCTTCATGAACTCACAGATTGACAGGCTTTGAGATTCAAATCTTTTTCCCGCAGATAGGCACAATACAGGAAGTGGCAGTGCAAAACCAGCTGACGTGCCTCATTCTTGCACTGGAGATGTGATAATGGATTTTGCAACGAGTGGAGCTTTAAATCCAGTTCCTACCAACTAGGTTCTGAACTGAGACACGCCCCTACTCCACTCCACCCCATTTCATACAGGCTATTACTAGGGCTGTTGATTAATCAAAGATAACTCAAAAAAATTAACTGCGATTAAAAAAATTAATTGCGATTAATTGCACTGTTAATAAAATACCAATTGACATTTATTAAATATTTTGGATGTTTTTCTACATTTTCAAATATATTGATTTCTATTGCAACACAGAATACAAAGTGTACAGTGCTCACTTTATATTATTATTTTTATTACAAATATTTGCACTGTAAAAATGACAAACAAAAGAAATAGTATTTCTCAATTCACCTCACACAAGTACTGTAGTGCAATCTCTTTGTCGTAAAAGTGTAACTTACAAATGTAGATTTTTCTTGTTACATAACTGCCCTCAAAAACAAAACAATGTAAAACTTTAGCGCCTACAAGTCCACTCAGTCCTACTTCTTGTTCAGTCAATTGAGAGGCACTGCCTTAGGGTATGTCTGCACCCATGGCTGGCCTGTGCCAGCTGACTCAGGCTTGTGGGGCTCAGGTGAAGGGGCTGTTTAATTGTGTAGATGTTTGGGCTCAGGCTGCAGCGCAATCTCTGGGATCCTTCTACCTCGCAGGCAGAGCCATCCTTTGGGCAGGGTGAATCAAGGTGACTGCCCCGGGCCCTGCGCTTTGGGGGGCCCCGCGCTGTGATAAAATCAGGACTGTCTCAATATTTAGCCCTTTGTCCTGCGTCCCGACGATGTACGATTGGGATGCCATTTGTCCCGATATTCAGATGAGGAGGTGGGCAGGAAGGTGAGGCAGGCAGGCAGGCAAATGGGGTGAGGAGGCGAATGGGGAAGCAAGCGGCAGGTGGACAGGCAGGAGGAGGGTGAGGAGGTGGGTGGATGGCGAGAAGGAGAGGGGCGGTTGGGCGGACGGCGCCAGACGGAGGGTGAGGAGACTAGCAGGGAGGTGAGGGGCAGGCAGGTGGGTGAGGAGTCATGCAGCAGGCGGGCAGCGAGCAGGAGAACGGCGGACGGAGGGGTAGCGTCCTAGGATTTGAGCTGCAACCTGGGCCCGAACATCTACACCGCAATTGAACATTCCCTTAGCCTGAGCCCTGCAAGCCCGGGCCAGCCACAGGTTTTTAATGGCAGTGTAGATACACCCTTAATGTATTATAAATGGTTCAGTCAGCTTCCAGTCACAGTATTTTGCTCTGTGACAAAGAGGTTTATGCCCTCCTCACATGGCCTTAGACAATTCTTACAAACTATGAGCTAAAGGCCACAATAATCTCAAAGGCGTTTATTTATCGTTAACCCAGCTATAAATACTTTTCAGTGCGCCAAAGACAGCCTTCACCCTCTGAGATCACTAGCATTAAAGAGATGATAAAACCATGGAGGCAGCTTTTTAAATTTGTTATCAAAAGAAAGACGTTTATTTTGTGAAGTCTTTTGCACTGTATGAAGTTTCAGCTCTCCCACAGAATGGGGACAACTGTATCTGTTACTATATCTGTTTGTAAGCAATGCCAGTTTGCTGAAATAGGCCCTCCCATGGGATTTCTTTGCACAAAAAATACTATTAATGGTTTCTGGCCCAATTTGCCTATGATGTAATTGTTTCCAAGTTCTTGAAAGGAATACTATATTTTGTTCAGGGCTGCTTCAGGCTCAGTTTCAAGAGCCGTACACAGCAGAATTATTCACTTCTAAACTAAATAAGGGTGATAGTCTAAAAGGTTTAACGGTTGATATTAACTTTCTGAAAGTGTCTAAAGGAAAAATAAAGCAAGTCAGGAGGCAGTGCGCATGGAGACACTTTCAATTTACACTTTTCCTGCTCAAGCCCCATCTGCTGTCCTTTCCGTTTACATTTCAAACATCATAATACAGCACTGGATTGAAACAAAAGAAAATTAACTGTGCCGGGTTGGACCTGGCCTTTGCGGTTCCCTACAAGAGGCTCCACAGTCCTACTACATATCACCCTGGGAAACAGTAAAGTGACAGGAAAAAAGCAGCAAAGGTGGGTCCTCCAGGCCTGTCTAGAGTAGGGTTACCATATTTTGAGCCTCCAAAAGGAGGACACTCCACGGGGCCCCGGCCCTGCCCCCAGCCCCGCCCACGCCCACGCCCCAACTCCACCCCTTCCCCAAAGTCCCCG